ACAGGTTTACATCCATACTGTTTTTTCTCCATTTTTCATGAAAGAAACAGCAGGTGAGGGTGGTTTTTTTTTTTTTTGGATCTACATATCCAGCTTAGATGGCAGAGAAGATAGAAAATGTAGAGACTGCCAGCTTCTCCCTCCAGATCCCTTTGAGAGGCTTTGGGAGGTGTCAGATGTTCACCTTCTCACTGGATTTCAGGACAGCAAAGCTGTGAGTGGAGAGAGATGTGGAAAAATAGTACTTTCCCACCTGTTGGGATGAGGCCTTCCTGTTCTGCTTTTGTCAGACTTACCCGGATAACTCCCACAAATGCTTTTCAGCTATTTTTACCTATTTTCTGCCCAAGCAGCACTTTCTAGAGATGCAAACAAAACATGTAATTCATTCTTCTCACCTCACCTCCACTGCAACTACTCCTGTTGCCCTGGGTTTGTTTATTTGGGAGATGTTCCCTTTTCTTTCATGAAGCAAGCTTTTCATGCTGGATAATTTTGTGCTTGCCTTCAGCCTCTCAAGTCCTTTGAATAAGCCAAGCTGTCCATGAGATGGTGCCACACGCAGAGTTAAAACCCTACTTAGCTTACCAGAGACAGCAGACAGGGAAGAGTCTTCCTAGGCACTGCATTTAATAGGGCATATTTATTATGTCTATTATTATAATAATCTGGACTCCTTCAGTTTTGGATACATGAATAATACAGCATCAAAAAAAAAAAAAGAAGTTTTTAAAAAGGTGTTTTTATATATAGATAGATAAAGATAGCTCACTGTGATTCATCTGCTAAAAATTGCTGCTGCTCCTTGTTTGTTTGTTTTGTTCAAGCAGAAATCGCTGGGCAAGATGAATGCCAGGAATGGGAATACAGGATAAGCCTAAATTTCACAACTTCTTGTCATGCTGGAAGGTTGCTGTCAAAACTTTGGTGCAGGTCTGGAATTTGCTTAGAGATGAAGTCGCAGCTCCGGGTGTAGCGCAGCAGCCGAGCACAGCCAGGCAGGGAGGCAGGGAAGAGCATCTGGCCCATGCAGGGATGAATGAAGGTCACTGTGCCTCCTCCAGGGGAAGGCTGCAGGGACTGGAGCAGGAGCTGTGCAGCCCCCACAAGCCAGCATCTGGATAAAATTTGAGTGGTTTGAAGGAGTCCTGTGATGTGTTTTACCTTGTGCCATATGAGGGTGTAAACTGTTGTTCCTGTTCTTCTGGCCAGGTGCAGAGGTTTCTCTGGTGGGGATCAGGGTTTGGAGTCATCAGCAGCACAGAAAAGAGACACAAAAAACCCTTCAGGCTGTAAAAACAACCCTTGGGCAGACAATGTCTCACTCAGAAGTACAGATGGAGGTATTGCTGCTGGAGCTGCACCTCCTGGCTACATTTTGGGCCAACTTCTGCATAGCTGTGAGCCAGGGAGAGACACAAAGCCCTCCCAAGCCACAGCACAGCGCACAGCAATAAACTCCAGCTCTGCTCTCCACCCCTACAGCTCTGTTTGCACCTGACAGGTGCTGCCACATCCACAGCCTGTGGCCTCCTGGTCCCTCACGTGTCACAACAGAGGACACGCAGCCAGCAGTGGAGCTGGGAGCAGCATCAGATCTCCACATCTGGTGTAGAACCTGGGCTTCACCCTCTGTAGAGATCCTGGGGTCTGGTCCCAGTCACAGACAGGAGTCCAGACTGCCTGCTCTGGGCATTGCTAGGGATGTGTCAGAGTGGTTTTTCAGCTCTGCATGGACACAGCCATTATCAAAGTCATGTCCCAGTGGTCAGTTGGATCCTGCCTTGGTGGAAATAAAACACCAGTGCTTTGTAGCTTCACAGAGGGTAAGCCATAAAATAAAAATACTAAGGAAATAGCTGTAACAAACACTTGACATCCATCATGAGGGACAAGATCTGTCTTAACCCACTAAAACATTATTTGTTCTTTTTCCCAGGGGCCAAAACACAGCTCTTCTGCATGAGATATGTGTGTCATTGGATATGTGTGTATCCCTAAATTTAATTTGTCCAATTGCATTAGGACAAGCAGCTAATTCCAAAATTCATTTTGTTTCCATAATCAACCCCTCTGCCAAATGGCATCTGGGTGGAATTGTGGAGATTGTGATTTTTATTTAAAGTGATTTATTGAAATCATTAGCAATGTACCCTAAGTGGAATCCATGGCAATCCTTTTAATCTTCCCCCCATCACAGTAAATGCAAACATTTTTTTTAATAATAGAGAGATTGAAATATAAGGTTATTAAAATCCACACTTGTGTATCTCTCCATGCTCTCTCCCTCTGTAATGGGCTGGAAACCATAACTGTGGAAATAAAGGCTCCCTTTCAGAGCGGAGATGCAGAGAGTGTATAATGAACAGTTAAGCATCTATTTAGTCACTTTGAATTGATAAGGGTTTTAATGAAAATGAAAGGAGCCAACTTGATTTCCGCTGCAGAGAAATACAAATGGTGGGGGAGTGTTTTTGTGGTATTGCCCTAAACCCCTTTAATGGAGTCAGTGTCTGCAGCAGAACTCAGAGCTTCCCCAAGTGCTTTTCCAGCCTCTTCCCACAAGTACTCAGTGGATCTCTAGGAAACGGAGGGGGTTTGCCCTGTGTCCCACTGGAGCAAGGTCTGGGCTGCTGTCACCAGCTGTCCCCAGGCACACAGAGAGCTGCCCTGTTGCCCCCAGCTCTGATTAATCTCCCCAGGTACCCACACCTTTGCAAACCCTCTGCCTCCAATCACTCAGCTCCATCCTCTCCTGGGAACGCAGGGGTACAGCATGGTGGGAGCCTGCCTGGGACAGCCACAGCTGAAGGCAGGCACAGGGGTGGGTCAGCTGGACCAGGTGCTCTCCTGTTCCCTCTGCTTGATGCACTGGTGCCATGGCAACTGCTAGCACCAAACAGCTGTGGTGAAAGGACAGCTTTGGAGCAGGCTCAGTCCCCAACAACCAGTGCCCATGCCCTGGGGGTTGTTCTCTCCTCCTAAGAACCCCAGGCAAAGGATGAGCAGAGCAAAGCCAGACTGCACTGTGCCACCCTTGCACAGAGCCCAAAATTCACTTCACATTGAAAAGTTTTTATAAAAAAAAATAATATTGCCATATTTTCCATCTTGGAAAGATAAAATCTGGTGTGGAGAATCTGACAGAGGAGCCATTTGCCCTTAGCTCCTGACTCCTGCCCTGGCCCTCAAAGCATCTCTGCAGCTTCCTGCTCTGGAGGCAGAGTAGCAGCTCCAACTCTGGACATCAAGATGCTGGGGCAGGGGCACAGCAGGACCTATCCCTTTGCAGGATATGTATCCATGCAGCTGCCCAGATATTCTTTTGTAACCAGTCACAGCTCTGTCACTTGTGAGAAGAAATTTTAGGATGTTGTTCAATGGTTCTGGGCACCAGAAGTGACTGTGACACAGTCCATGCACATTCCAGGGAGAAAAGCTTTTTCCTCAGCATCTTCTTTGCTCCTGGGCTGGTACACTCTGTCCATCACCAACCCAAACCCTGGTGATATTATTGCACAGGAGATGTTGCCATTTTATTCTATACTCTTCCAGCCCCCAGGCAGCTGGCAGGATTGCTGATGGCTGGTAACACACACACACACACACACACACACACACACACACACAAAGTTAATCTTTTGGTGTTGTTTCTCAGAAGCTCCATTTGGCTGCTTTCAGGCTTATTGTGGTGATTTTCTTGCCCTCGTGACAGCTGTTTCTTACATGGGGAAGCAGCACAAAAAAACCCCAACAAAACAAAAAACAGGGGGGCTGTGATTTATTTTCACCTCCAAATATAGAAAAACAATTTCTCCCTGTCTAAAATTTCCTCCTCTTTAAATATGTTTCACTGCCTTTAAACCAAGCCAGCAACTCAATGATCGCAGAGATCCCGCCACTACACTAAGGCAGATGAGCTGTATGTGTAGGGAACACGAACCAGTTTAAGACCATTATCAAGGTGACCAAGGCGGCTGGCTCTTACCAGTTGGCACAAACAGCTTAGCAGGGAGGGGACGCGGTGCGGGAGCTCAGCCTCAAGCCCTCCCTGCTTTCTGCAAAGCTGTCATCCCTCCGATGCCCAAACTTTGCGGGGCTGCGGGAGCGGGGCCGCGGGCAGCATCCCTCCTGCGGGATGCCGGCGGTGGGATGGATGATGTCCGCCCCGCTGCCGGCAGCGCCCGCCCTGTGATTCCCGCCTGCCGCCGGCTCCGCTCGCAGACAAAGGCTGAGCTCAGCGCCTGCGGGCGGCTGGACCTGGGCTACCCACGGCAGCGCTCCCCAGCTTCCCCTGCACCTCCCCGCGAACACCCCGCAGACGGATCAGAGCTCATCTTTTGTCACCGCAAGGATTAACTCCCCGGGGAGCGGCGGCGGAGGCTGAGCCCACGCTGCCAGCCTGCTTCCAGCACGCTCAGGAGTTTCGGAGCCAAGCTCCCGGCAGCTAATCCCCCTCGCAGCCGGGGCCGGGGAGGATGGGGAGAGCCGGCAGGTGAAGGGACAGCAGGGAAGAGGACGGGGAGGAGTGTCACACACACACGCACAGAGCACACGGCAGCGGAGCGGAGCGGATCGGCGGCTGCGTGCGGGGAGCTCCGCAGGGACCCAGCCCGCAATGAAACCAGCTGGAGCATCGGGAGAGAGGATCTGCTCGCTTGGAAAAGTCTCTAAGGTAAAACCCGAGGCCGGCCGCTTCTGGAGCGGGTGCTGGGCTCTCTGCCGGCGTGCTCGTTGTCTCTGACTTGGTTGTGTTTTTAAAGGAATCGATCGGGAGATGCCGGTAGAAGAAGTTGCCGAAAGCCAGGCTGGAATGGGCCGGGGCTGCGCGCCGCCGGCCCCGTCGCACAGCGGAGCAGCCGAACTTTGCGGGGTCTGAGCGTTTGTCCCCTCTGCGAACGGGAGAGCCGGGACCGCACCGCGCACCGGGAGCCTGACCGAGCCTGGGGCAGAGGCAACGGGGGTTTCTGTCTCAACAAGGACCATCGCCTCTGAAACAAAAAAAATAAAGCTGGAGAAGGGCAATTTATCTTTCTTTTCCAGATGACTGAAAATATCTACAGGATCCTGTCTCTCCGGTGTTCATCAGTGAGTAGCATAAGGGACAGGCGGCTGAGGAACAAAAATGATATCGGTCAAAATCACTCCAGCACCTACTTTTTCCTAAGGAACTTCATGCCCATAGGGGTTTTCTGCGGGCATTTCCAGGAGTGAGGCGAGGGACCACAGATGCATCCCTACCGGATCATGTAAGAATTTGCAGATGAGAAACGTACCTCATCCAGACCTTCTCTGCCCGCTTTGCAGTACATGGTTTGGTGTAAGCACAGCAATTCTCACCTCTTTCTCTCCCTTTTAAGTCTCTTGAGCTTGGAGACCTCTTTCCTCATTGCAATTATGATTATTTGCAACATCAGTGCCATCAAAGATTGGAGCACTTTCCTTTCCCAAATCCTCCCCAGCGTTAACAAGACTCTGAACTTGGTACAGCAAGTGGAAGCCACCACCAGCTCGGTGGTGAGTGTCCTCCAGGACCCCGAGCAGGACAACTACCTGTCCAATAGCCAGTCCATGAACTCCAGCAACTTCACAGCTGGCCTGGACCACTTGTTCCAGTACTCATACTCGGACAATGACCAGCTCTACAAGGAGTACAAACCCCCTCCTCGAGATGCCATTCCTCTGCCCAAGGCTGTCCTCTACCTCCTCATGGCAGCCCTGGTGGTGGTGGCAGTGGCGTACGCCATCGTCGGGCATCTCATCAAGGACCTCATCTACGACTTCGTAGGTGAGTGTGGGCTTCATACATTGAGTGCTTGTGGCCAAAAAGAGCCTGGTGCCAAGGCTGGACCTGCTGCCTTGCGTGTCTCCTTTGATTTGGGTGGGTTTTAGACCAAGCTTTGACCCTTTCACATTTGCAAGAGTGTTGGTTTATTTAATGTGCTGGGTTCTCCAAACTGAGTTCTGTGTTGACCATATTCCCAGAGAAAATCCTTAAGTTTAGCCCCCTTCCTCAAGGAGCAGATCTTGTGCCTGTGTACGTGTGCATAAATGTGTGTCCGTGAGTCTGGGTTGCCAAATGTCTGTAAAATCCCTTGGCCTGTTTCAACTGAGCTTGAATTAGAGGTCTCCAACACGAAAAGTTTCATGGCAACAGCTACCTGAGCACAAGATAACAACCCACTAGTGCATAGTGAAAGAAAATCTGCCATATGAGCTTAACCCCTTATTAGACACCAGTGAGTCTACAAACTCCTAGGAAACACAGCTCAGCAGTCTGGTTGCCTTAGAACAGTCATCACAGCCCTGCAACAAATTCATGCAATGACAGCCCAAAGAGGGTACATTTTTTTCAGATTTGGCTTCCTCCTCTTTGGATTCATCCTGTTGCTGATGAATGCTGTCCCTCTCCATAGGGGCCGAGAGCACAAACACTGCTGGCTGCTGTGGTCAGGCACAGCTGCTTGGCTGCTTGTGACAAGCCTTCAATGATACTCTTGCTCTTTTCCCCATAATTTGTAAGGCTGGTCGTGCTGGGGAGTGCAAATGTGCCCAATTCCCACCTGAACCCCTGGTACTTTTGGCCCCTACACCCTGACAGCCATCGTGTCCTTCTGAGGGTCAGGGCCCTGCTTCAATTACAATTTTCCAGCTTGGATAGGGATCCAGAAGGGATCCCCAGAGGGATTTGAGCTCCTGGCTCCTGCAGATGTGCACAATCCCCAAAAGCTCTGGCAACAATGCCCTGCACAGGAAAAGGAGGCAGAAATCTCTTTGCACAGCCTTGCTCTGAGCCTGACCCTCAATCAGGGTTGAAGCCCTGCAGGCTCCATCTCTGCAGGAGGAGGGAGGTCACACTCATCTGGAACAAAATCCACGTGTTCATTCATGATTCCCCTTTATCTCCCTGCTCCTGGGACACAGGAGACACAGAGCAGCCAAAACTCCAGCCAGTGCCTGGGGGTGGGCAGCAACCCTGCCTTGCTGAGGGGAGGGCAAGCCAAGCCCTTTGGGCAGAGGGTCATGATCGGGCAAGGGCCAGCAGCTCCAGGACAGAGGGGATTTAGAGGGGGTTATTTGGGACAAGAAAGGTCAAACCTCCTGGCAGGAGCAGTACTTGGGGTCTCACATGAGGCTGAGCCTAGAAAACTGCAGGGAGCTGCTGCTGAGGAGTTTTTCTTCGCTCCAGATGGAAGGAAACGGATATATTGTCTTAAAGTGTTAAATTTAACACTTAATCAGCAGCTTGCTGGGGCTGTGCTCATCTGATTTTGTGCTGGCTTCGCCACAAAGGTAGGCAGTGGGGACAGCACCTAAAAATATCCCCGCTCCTGCCCCAAGAAGGTCAAAGGACCAGGCCAGCCAGGTCAGAAACTCCCCCGAGGCAGGGGCAGCCCAGTCCCAGTGTCCCCACAGAGCAGACACCCCTGTCCCCATTGCTGTGGCCCCTGATGCAGGAGAGCAGAGATGTGGGTGCTCAAAGCATCCCTTGGGTGGGTGCTGCAAAGCAGGGCAGAATCCACAGAAATGCCCTGTCCCTGCAGGCACAGAGGGGCTGCAGCTGCAGTCAGGGACACCTGGGCCCAGGTGTGCTGCTTCCAGCTTGGCACCAGTGTTCCCTGCTGACCTTTAGCTTGACCCTCTGCGTGGGATGAGGTCAGCAGGGTGCTCCTTCTCTTGCAAAGTGCTTTGCAAAGGGACTGCCACAGCCTTTCACAGCACCAAGCACAGAGACAGCGCTGGGGTCTGCCCGCTTCCTGACACTTTGGAAGAAGCCTTTTCCCAGTTTAACACCCCTGGCTGAGGGCAAAGCATCCTCTCTGCCCCGGGGTGAGGTAATATCTCTCCAAGTTAAGGTCAGAAATCCATATGTGAGCTTCTTCCTCCTCCAGGCAGAGAGGAGAAGGCACTTCCCAAACTCCAGCAGCACCCCTCAGTGCCTAAGGCTGCCTCCAGCTCATCCTAGTTAGCACTCCAGGCCCATCTTCCCACAGTTTTTACACTTAAAATGAGCCAGTCCTCGGAGGAGAGCGAATGAGACCATGTTTGTTAACACTGCCAAGGAACAGCCTTTAAAGAGAAGGGGTTTCATTTGAATGAATTTGCATAAAATTACTCTAGGGACTGGACAGAGAGACCAAGGAACAGTAAATAAGAATCTGCTCTATTAGCTGCCTTAACACAATGCCTGGATTGATATACTCAGCAGCAGCTCCAGCCTCTGCTATCAGCATTTCTGCACTAATCATGTTCAGAAATACACAGGGAGAGATGGAAATAAGATGCCAAAGGGCTGGAGCCTGTTTCAGGGAGATTAAAGTGGCAATAGTTAATCGCTGCTTTAAACAGTCACTGGGAGGCAGCGGGGATGATTGTGACTCCTCAATACCAGCTTGTGGGACACGGCTTGGGGAGTCAAAGCATCAGCCAGGCCCCTGCTCCCACAGGAGCAATGAGAAGCAGGTGCTGGGCTCAGTTTTGGACGGTGAAGGGGTTCTTGGGATGCTGCCAAGGTTTTCTCCCTGTGAAACCTGAACGGGTATTTGCAGATGCTTCTTAAAAAATCAATTAGAGCTTGCCCAGGCATTGCCAGGGGGACATGAGCACTGCTGTGATGCCCAGCAGGCTGGGGAGGAATGGAAAATGGGATGCTGCATAGGAGAAGGAGGAAAGATGCATTGTTGGAGAGCAGGAAGGCAAAGCACCTGGGTGTGGATAAGAGAGCTCTGAAAGAGCCCCTTTTCAGCTCTCTCTGGAGAGCCCCAATTTCTCTCCAGTCTCACGTTTGGCTTTGCCAAAACTCATCCGATGTCTCTGCTTGGGGTTGGACGTGATCTCCCCGAGCAGGGTGGGAGGAAGGCTCCTGCGTGAGCAGGCTCAGACCCCACCAGCAGTCGAGGCAAATTGGGTCGAAGCGTTTGGAAAGCTGCTTAACTCTGAAGCGCTGGAGAGCTGCCAGAGCCGGCGCTGCGGCGAGGAGCGGGCTTGGCAAATGACAAGGCTGTCACCGCCGTACGAGGCGCCTAATTACTGCAATCCCGGGAATCTGCCCGCCCTCCCTCCTCCGGCCCCGGCAGCTCGCTGAATATCGCTCCTATTTAAAAGTTATTAAAAAAAAAAAAAAAAAAAAAAAAAAAAAAAGGAGGAGAAAGGGGGGGAAAAATAAAAAGTTTGACTGGAAACAAAGGTGTTGCCATGGAGACTGCACGCGTGTGGTGGCCGGGAAAGGGGACAGCATCATCTCCTGCACGGGAGGAAGGCTCTGCTGGGCTGCGTGGGAGCCGCGCCTGGCAGGAGACCTTGGCTGCTGTCCCCCGCTTCGGCCAAGGGCTCCTCCGGGCTGCTCATCTCCAGGCAGGCCTTGGAGGGAACTTTTCCCTCGGGAATGGGCCCAGGGCAGATGCCCAGCAGGTTCATTGGCACTGGCAAGACTGTGCTGGTCGATGGCTTTGGCGCTGGTCAAAGCCCTACGCCATCCTTGGAGCAGGGTCTTTCTTTTCTTTGCCCTTTTGACCCACCAGCCATATTTTTGTTTTTCAGCCTTATCTCCAGCCACCACATTTCAGGCTTCTTTAGGAAACGGTCCCCTTGAACAAAGAAGCTGTGCATGAATGTGGCATTGCTGAAAATAGCTGCTGGGTGATCCTGCAGGGACACGGGATCCACTTTTAATTGCTCCACACAGAACCACAGGGCTCTGAGGATAATTCAGCCCAGGCAGGGATTGCAGACAGCATCTTAGGTCCATCAGAGAGGACTTATACCTCTTCTTTTCCAGCTCTGTTTTGAGGATAATTCCTTTGCCTGCCGAAGTTGTGGGAAGTAACCACGTCAGGTTCCCTTCTGCTTTTCTATCTTGGTTCTAACCCACCTCTCACAGTGATCCCCTGCCTGTTTCCCTTCTGGTGCATGGGGGTGCATCAGGAGTTCCTGAGGTGTTGTTTGGGGAAGCAGTGGCTACTGTAGGATAATTCACCACTCCCCTCACAGGCTGGGGCTGGACAACGAGCCACAGTGGTCTGCAAAGGGGGCCCACTCCAGGACAGCTGCATTTGAGGCCAAACCTTTGGAGCTCAGAGCTGGAGGAGAGGAATGGCTTCCAGCACACACTGCCAGGCATTGACCAAGGCCTCAGGGATGCGCCATCCCACGGCAGCCTTCCCATTCCTGCCATCATGTGGTGCAGGGATGGGCTGTGCCAGGTCCAGGGATGGGCTGTGTTTGTCTGCTGCCCTGCAGGCACTGCTCTCCCTTGAGCTGGGACCCAGCAAGGCTCCTCACTCTCTGGTCACCTTCACTCTGCCTCTGGAAGACATGGACAGCAAATATCCACCCCCAGGACCATGCCTGCCTCCCGCCCACCACACCTGAGCCACCACCTCTCAGAGACCCATTCTCTGGAGCTGCAATGCTGCCTGATGGGTGGGACTGGCATCAAATGCAGGCTTGGTCCAGGGTTGCTCTGGTGCATGCAGAGAAGCTGTTCTTAAGAGAATATAATAATTAATTGAGTGCCGTTTCCATGTCACCCCTTCTCCCACCAGAGGCCTCCTGCTGGTGACAGGTCTGTAGAGGAGCAGCGTCCTTACCTGTCCACCAGCAAAGCAGAGTGTTCCCCATGCTCTTTGGGGTGCAGGACAATTTTGACTCAGCCAGCACAGCAAAGCTGAGAAATTTCTGCAAAGCAGGGCACGAAGAACAAATCCTAACATCAAATTCATTTAGAAATAAGTGAATCTTCATTTAGAAAAAAGTGAGGGGAAAAGGGGGGTTTCTAACAAATTACTGTTGCCAGGGGCAGACAGGGATTTTCCATCAGAACAAACCTGGGAGTTATCTGTTGATTTTGCTAATGGATAAGTAGAATCTGTCCAGCAAATGAGACAGCTACAACATCCAGCTGTGACTGCAGCATCATGTCAGAGACACGAGGGATACCCTTGAACTCATCTCCATTGGGAATGCTCCGGCCAGAGCTGGCCCTGCCTTGCTGCAGAGCAATGTGATTGCTGGGTCAGGACTTGTTTCAAAGAAAGAGGTGCTTCTGCTCCTGCTGATGGGAAAAGAGCTTTTTTAGCAGCTGCTTTCACACCCAGCTCCATTTAAAGCAAAACTAGAGCACGAGTTTGATTGTTCATCGAACATGTCGCCCCTTCCTTTCCTGTTTCCATCTCTACAGGGACTGTGAATGTCTCACTCACCAGGCTGCATTTAAATTTCAGCCCTTTCTCCCACCCCCTTCTGCTCTTCTGCCTGGGATGTCTCTTTTTCAGCAGCTGAAATGGCTCACAGACATCCCACCCTGCCACCAGTGAATGCAGGGGACCGTGCCACCCCCTTGGGGTGACACTGGGCACACAGCAACCCTGTGCCCCTCTGCACCCAGACAGCAGGAGGCTGCTCTCTGCTGCCTGCCCTGTCAGGGCTTTCTGGGCAAGGACCAGCTGCTCATACGAAGGGCACACTGTGACATCTGGGCATCCCCAATGTTTTTGTGTCCCCAAAAATACAGCAAATCCCGAGGTCCTGATTCCAGGGGTGCTGTCAAAGACTCAGAGACAGGCAGGTGCAGGGGCATTTCGTGCCATATCACTCTGCTACTTGTGGATAATAATAATAATAATAATAACAGAATTGCTATTCCACAGCTGCTGATGTGCCCAGTCTGCTTTATCTCCTCTCTCCAGCTGCTTTGGATCAATCGCTCCCTATCGATCTCACCCCACCTCTCCACTGGCCCTGCAGACCCCAGCAGGCCCACTGATCCTCAGCAGCACCTGACCAGCAGGAAGAGGTGTCTCTGGGTTAGATGCTGCTCCCCAGCCTGGCTGAGAAAGTCACTTTGTTCCTCTCTTTTATCCAAGACATTCACACACACACCTGTGGACATGCCCTGGATTTTGCAGCATGTGTTATGAGCTCCTTCCAGTGGCTGGGTAGGGACAGGCAATGCTTCTTCTTATCTCCAAAGTGTGACTGTCCTGGGTGTGATGTGCCAGGAGCACACTGTGGGATCCCTCCTCAGCCCAGCTCTGCTTGTAGCTGTCCCAGATCCATTAGGTGTCATTAGATTCAGCCTAACTTTGCTCACCTGGAGAATGTGTGAACCCATATGTGGGCTTAGACCCAAAAGAGGATTTTGTTTTCCTCTGTGTGTATATTTTTTGTGGCTCATGCATCCCCCTGCCAGCTGTAAGGGATGGAGAGATAAGTACCTGACATGGTGCTGAGGGCTGCAGGTTCCTTTGGTCTGTCACCACCACCACCCCTGGGCTCCCAGCCCTTGGCCACCCCCCTTACCCAATTACACCCCTGTGCAGGGTTCATTATCCAAGATTTCCAGCCTGTGTTGGCACATGACATGAGGTTGTGCCTCCCATCCCCTGCAAAATTCCTTCCGCATCAGAGCGAGGTTTAATCCCATTGACGCCAAAGATGTGCAGGTCTCCTCTCTCTCCTCCCTCATCCCTCCCCAGACACGCCATGGGTGACCCCAGGAGACCTTGGTTCCTCCCCCTCACACTGAGAGGAGCCAGAGGGAGCTGCTGGGGAGGATGGAGCCCGGCTGGGATGGAATTGGCAGTGCCTGGCAGGGGACACGAGGGCGCTGACATTTTTATGGTTGTTTCTCCAGGGTCCTGCTGGCAGGAGATCCTCTGCCAGCTCCACGGGGCCTCGCTCCCCTCTTCCACACATGGCAACACGCTGAAGTTACAGGCCATAAATGGCCACAAATAACATGTAATTGTGTAATTACTTCACTCCTTACTTACACAGTCAAATCATAAAGGCATCGCAGTAAATACCCTCTAATGACAGCCTAATTACATCTTCCTGCAGATTACTGGGTAATTAGATCCAGCAGGCTCCAGAAATAATTCCCAGGGAAGCGGTGGTTCGGATTAGCACTCACAATCCAGCCTGCTCTCACCCAGGAGCTGGACTGTGGCAGCCCCACGCAGCCACATCCCCTTTGGTGACAATGCACTGTGTCACTCCTCCCGTGCCAATGGCTTTTGCTGGTGCCCTTGGTGCTCTCCCAACACACCCACCCCCTGCATTTCTCTGCCTTTACCACAGTGCCTCATCCAGCTCTTGCTTCTCCTTGTGCCCACAAATGTCACCAGGGGTCCATCATCTGGCCACCAGATGCCACTCACCCCTGCTCACAGGCATGCAACGCTCTTTGCTCCTCACTGCACACGGCAATCCTTCTCCAGCAGCTCCCGGGATATTTGAGGACCCATCACTCCTTTTTCTAGAGATTATTCCCCTTCCTCCCTGCAGCTCCCACTGGAGTTTTACGGCTGACGTCAAGGAAGGCGAGCTGGGAACTGTAATAGTATTTGTAGGAGGCAATCCTGTTACTGCCTTCAGCTTCTCCTCACGGCAGGCAGCTCTCTGCGTGGGGGCTGCAGCAGCCTGCAAGGTCCTGGGGCCAGGAGGCTCTGTCTGGGATGGACCAGACCACAGAGAAGGTGGTGGAGTGTTTGGCCTTCAGTCCAAACCCAGTAAAGCCAAGCAAAATCAAAGCTGTAAAGGAAAAAAGCCCTAAATGAGCCTTCTGGGCTTGGCTGATTTTCCTTGGGGAAGGGTTGGGATGGGGAGCCCAGCCTCAGGTGGGTTATGCAAGGGAAAGCTGAATGTCCTGGTTGGGACTCAGGGCAGACTCAGGGCTCCCCAAAAACCTTTGGACCACTTCCTTGCTGAGTTTCCCAATCCCTCTTGCTAGCCCAGCGGTGGCTGAGGCAGCTGTGGTTCTTCTCCTGCCTTTCCTGTTGGACAGCCAGCAAACCCTGCTGGCACAGTGATGAAGGTGAAGAAAATAGGAAAACCAAGGAAAAGCTGTCCCTCTCTGGACATGTTGCCAGTGCCCAGTGTCACTACAGAGCTCTACCCTCCTTGGAGAGAGCCCCCTCTTCCAGCCAGCCCATGCTGGCAGTGGGGCACAACTCCTCCACTCCCTGTCCCTGCCAGGGTGGTCACCTACCCTGGCTCCAGAGCGTGAGCATCACCCTCAAAGTCATGTTCTGCTCTCTTGGGGATGCTGTGGCCAAATGGCTTCAGGCTGGGGAAAAAAATCAAATATTGCATAGCAAGAACAACAAAACTTTTGACTTTTCTTAAAAGAAAAAAAAAATAAGAGAGAGAAGTTTTGGGTCTCTCAAAAAAAGCCCAAAATTTGACTTGCAGTGCACACACTGAGCATAGAGAGGCCCACAGGTCATTCCTGGCTCTCTGCTCACACCTGAAGAAATGTCTGGCCACCACTGGTGAGCTGAGAAATGAGATCTTCCATTCACTTCACACCTGGCATCCCACCCTGGCATCTGCCATTATTCAGTCCTAGTTTTGCTGCAAAACTTTTTTCGACAGCCCATGAGAAAGACGTCATCTCACTGGGATGGCATTTCTGTGTTCCTGTTCAGGAAACCATAACTGGAATGTCCTGTGGGAGAGAAAATACCCCACAGCACAAAGGAGAGAAAATGTATTCTGTGAGATCCAGGGGCAAGTAAGCAGAATTCCTCAGGAACAACAAAACCAGGCTGGTCCTTCTGTCTGCCTCCTAGTAGCCTCCTCTGCTTTATTTTGACAGCAGAGCTAAAGCAGAGGAGTGCTGGTGCTCCACTGCCCACAGCCACAAGGTCTTGGGGCTGCTCTCCCTCACCTGGGTTTCCCCAGCTTTGATTTCCTCATTGCTGGTGCCTTCCCATCTCAGTGGGCTGTGGCCTCTCACTGCCCAAACAGCCAAGTTTTTATAGAGACAGCAGTTTGGGAAGCAGCACTGCCTGCTTTCACTCAGCTGCCATCCCTGGTGCTGCAGGGGATGTTCCAGTCACGCTGCCATCCAGCAGTGACACTGCATTTTGGAGGGGCATCAGTCACCCCCAGGGTCGTGGATCAGCTCAGAACCAGGTCCTGGTGCAAGAAGCACAGCCCCAAAACTGCCATGGAGGGATTGAGGCCCTGGCATGGCTGTAATGTACTCTCAAGGCAGAAAAGCCATGTCCCAGCCACATCTCCAACACCATTTGGATGACACATTTAATCACTTATTCTCTCTGACAGCAAAATCCCACTTTAGGAAATGGATTGCTGGAGACCCCAGATGCACGCTTCACTTTGGAGGCACTTCACTCTCATTTTTGGGATTAACAGGGTGATTTCATCTGCCTAAGCTGGGAGGGCTTCCAGAAACCATCAGCCTGAAAACCAGCCCAGAGCTGGGAAGAGCAGAGATCCCAGCTCCAGGGGAGTGGAGGGAGCTGAAGGGGCAGGGGTGGGCAAGGAACACTCCTGGAGGGGGAAGCACCCAGAGCCAGAGGTAGGGTGTAGCAGGAGGCAGCAGTTCTCTAGGATTTTCAGCCTTGAGCTCTGGGCAAAGAGCTGGAGGCAACCAAGGGCTTCTTTTGTGCTTTTCCCTCCTCCAGACTGGATCTTTGGCCCCAACCCGGATGACAACAGCAACAAGAGCGACATCAACTGCATCAGCAACAGCGTCAACGAGATGAGCGAGCTGCCCGAGGCGCCGCAGCGGCATCCCCGGGAGCGGCAGCCCCAGGACGTGGTCATTGCCATCAGCGAGACCTGTCACCTGCCGCAGCAAACGTGACCGGCGCCACGCCCGGGCCGGGCGGGATGGAGCAGCGGGATCGGCAAGGAGCACCGGGATGCAGAGGAAAGATGGAGCAGCGGGATGGAGCAGTGGAACAGAGCAGCAGCCGCCCCGCAGGGCCGGGCGGGGAGAGGATGGGATGGGCAGAGCCGGCGCCCTGGAGCAAAGCCCTCCTCCCCCTGGTTGTACCAGCCTCTAAGGACCTTGTGGGGGTGGGTGGCATCACCCCTTCTTCCCAGGCTTGTCAGCCCTTGGGTTTGTGACCCCCTCTTTGTTCCCTGTGAATAGCAAAAAAGAAAAAGCAAATGCAAAATACACCCACCAGACAAAGCTTGCAAGAGAAATGAGCTGCAGAGAGAGGCCGGGCAGTCCTTCGGCATGTGGCTGTCCTGTGGTGTGGGAATGGGGTGGGGAAAAGGGCAAAGGAGACAAGGAGGCTGCAGAGAAATGTGGTGTCTGCACTTCTGGGGCCAAGCCCAGGGCTCAGCAGGGAGCTGGGAGCTGCAGAAAGGCACAGAAAGGTCAGCAGGGGCCAAATCCCCCAGTACATTGGTGATCTGCCTGGGCCATCACTCCTGCCTTCAGTTCTGCAGCTCCAGCTCACAGCCCTGTCCAGCAGGTGTGTCCTGTGGCTCCGGGACAGCAGGGTGACAGCCCAAGCTGCCCAGGGAGCCTCATTCCTCTGGGCCTGTAGCCAAACCAGGGCCATCACATTCCCTCCAACACACCTCTGCTTGAGCCCAGCACCCCCTGGCAGGGAGCAGCCCTGTTGGGACCAGGTACAACCCCTTTTTCTGAGGAAATGTTGCTGGAGAGGAAGACAGGGACCCATCTGCATGAAATCCAAACTCTTTCTGGGGGAAAATAGCCCTTGTATGTCTGCATCCTTCAGACCCATCCCAGTGTGAGCACCTCCTACATCACCCCCAGGATTCCTGCCACCCCAAGGGGTGCTGGCTCTGTACTGGGGCCAGCCCCACGTGCAGTGATGGAGCAGGGACACCTCTCTGCTCTCCCTGGATGCCCTCCTCTTCCCAGCCATAGCACACCAACCAAAACTGCCCTTCTCTGTGCCCAAAGACATCCTTCCCCATTTGTAGATCCCTGCTCCTCACTGTTTAAGGGGCTCAGGGGAAGCCAGCAACAGCAAATGTGTGGTGCAAGCTCCCAAACCATGTGGGAAAAAGAGCATCCTGATGGTTTCATTGCTGTTTTAAGACCAGCTCTTTAAAACCTCAATACGGGTTTTAAACCAGGATCCATAGTTTCTCTGTGTAGCACAGTGGAGGCACAGGGACCAAGCTCATTCCTTGTGCCATTCCCTTATGAAGATCCCTTTGCTCTCTGCATCTTCCCTGAACTTAAAAAAAACGTTATGCTGAGATGAGGCCGTGGTCCAGACTTGTGCATTCAGGGATGCAAGTCCTGCCTTTTCCCAGCCTGCAGCACCCAGCACACCACAAACAGCAGGGGCCAGAACAGCATCTTCCCCTTCTGAAAGTGCTTAAGGAAAATGACGAATGTGGTTTCAAACTCCTGCTCCAAGGGCTTTAATGAGAGCCATTACCAGCCGTCCCACCCTGGGCTGGGGCTTTGTCACTTTTCAGAAAGCAAAGGCGAGGACAGTACCTCAGACGTCCCCCCGTTATTAACCATTTCCGATCTGATAGTGTTCTGTGTTCTGCCACCGTCATTTTTCTCTGTGTGTTTTTATTTTGTTTTGTTTTGTTTTTTGTTTGTTTGTTTGTTTGTTTTTGTTGGGTTTTTTGGGGTTTTTTGTTTGTTTTTTTTTTTTTGAATCCTGGGTTTGTAGCGCGGCTGCTCTGGCACCTGCCAGGCTTCCTGGGGCTGGACAGGGATGCTCCATCAGCACAAGGGGGATGCTGGGGCACGGTCCCCCCAGTGACTGTCACCCCTGCAGTAACCCCCTGCAGCACCAGAGCTGGCTGTGGGCTGGGGAAGCCGGGAAGCTCCAGATTCCCGGGGTTCAGCAGGTTGTGCAGGGAGGTTGTACAGGTTTGCTGCTCCCCTGCTCTCTCAGCATCAGCAGGCTGGACACCGGGGTCACGCAGGCGAGGGACAGTGACACGCCGTGTGTCACAGTGGCACTGCTCACCATGGGGACACGCCACTCCCTGGGCACAACCGATCCCCCCACGGCTGCACCGCAGCCCCATCACCCATCAGCGGCTGGGAATGCGGTGGAGGCTTCCCTGGGCATGGAGGCAGCCCCCTGCACTCCAGCCGGGCTCTCGCTCCCTTCCGGAGACCTTCGGGGTCCCACAGGACGCGGGTTGGCTCCAGGAGATGCTCCCGCACCGAGCAGCGGCTCGCACGCTGGGCTGGGGAGGCTGCCCCGGAGCAGGAGCCGAGGGAAGGAGCCCAGGAGAAGGAAGCAGCCCAGCCGAGGGAAGGAGCCCAGGCGAGGGAAGGAGCCCAGCTCCCTCGGAGCAGGAGCCGAAGGAAGGAGCCCAGGAGAAGGAAGGAGCAGGAGCCGAAGGAAGGAGCCCAGGAGAAGGAAGGAGCCCAGGAGAAGGAAGGAGCCCAGGAGAAGGAAGGAGCAGGAGCCGAAGGAAGGAGCCCAGCTCCCTCCTGTGGCCGCCCGAGCCGGGCAGGGCTGGCAGGAAGCGCCCCCAGCCCTCCGCTCAGCCTCTCTGAAATCCCCCTTCGCAGGGGTGCCAGGGGGGTCCTGTGGCTGTGCCCATCTCCAGGAATGACCAAACACTGGGTGATGCTGCTGCAGTGCCCACAGCGAGGGGAAACACCAACCTGGGCAATGCCACAGTCAGGGCTGGCACCAGAGCTCTGCAGGACCCCGGGGCTGCTTTTGGAACTGACCCCACTGGAATCTGCCAGGAATGGGGGGAACACCACAGAGGGCAGCTGTTCCCCACACCACCCCCCTTCACATCCCCCCTTCCCTGCATCCCTGCCATCATCTTCCCCCTGCTTTGTCCCCAAAGATGTCACCAGAGCCCACACCAGTGCTAAGCTTGAGCCTGCAAGAGTCCCAACACCACGGAGCCTTTTTGCCAGGCAGAGCATGGCTTTGGGCTGCCACAACCCCTGTCCCTCCAAGATCTCAGTGTCTGTCTGTCCAGCCATGCACCCATGCAGCTGGCTGCATTTTGGAGGGCATCACCAGTACCCTCAGAGGACCTTTGAAGCAGGGTGGCAGGACAGGACCAGGCAGATGAGTGAGGAGAGTTCTCCACGTTTTTGTTTGGGGTGTGCCAATGGTACAGCATTCTCGTGTGCTCCTCTCGCCCACCAGGACCCCCTCTGCAGGCTCAGCTGTCCTCCTGAGCCCTCTCCTTGCCCTCTGAGCAGGGGACAAGTTTCTGGTGATCCAACAGCATGGAGGGGCTGCTTTGCCCAGGGGAGGATTTCTGGGGATGCTGAGGAGGAGGGGGTTTCATGAGTGTGCCAGGCTATTCTGACTGCACCTCTTTAGTGCAGGAGGTTGCTCTTTAATTCCCTCCTTCTTCCCCTAAGCGCCTTAGGGAGCAGAGAGGAGAGATGCTGCTGCTTTTTATAGCAGCCATAATCCCTGCTGCTCACACTGCCTGCACCTCCTGCCCCGAGACACAGGGCTGAGCCTCCAAAACGGGGCTGCTGCCCAAAAAATGCCTCAAAACCCTTTGTCTCCCAGCACTGCCCCTCTCCCAGTGCACAAACCCCAGCTAGGGGTGGGTCTGGACTCAAGGCCCCTTTTCAGGAGGGGTGGGACAGCCACAGGTGCTGCACTCTGACATGGAGGGACAGACAGACACACATACAGAGACACACGGATGAGCACCAGAACAGCTGCCTGGCCTCCCTGCTCTCCTCCAGGACTTGTGGAACAGGAACCAACCCCACAGCACAGCCACAAGAAAGCCCTCAGGCACAAGAGGAGTCTGGGGGGTTCTTTCCTTTCTATCTCCCCAACTTTACAAAAGGGAAGCTGAGGCAGGGAGGGAGCAGGGTTAACCCTAACCCTGATGAGGGTAGGCAGCTGATGAGCTTCCAAGGTAGATGAAGCCTTTCTTTGGATGCAACCCCCAGACTGTGAGCTTCAGCACTTTGCCAGGATCATTTTGGTGTCAGGCTGCCTGGTTTCCCTCACCCAGCCTGTGTCTGTGAAGCCATGGATGGCATTTGAGCCATCATCCCTGAGCATGAAGGGACTGAGGAAAAGGGATGTGAAGTGGGGCAGTGGCAGGTTTGGTGTGGGGCAGGAGAGGCACATTTCACCTCCTGTGGCTGTCCTGGTGGTCAGTGCTGTCCTTGCAGCCAGTCCCATCCCTGTCCCCACCCCAGGACCACAGCCACCACGGGAGGGCATGGGCACTGCAGCTGCTTGATTCCCATTGCCATTGCCCTCTCCAGCAGCTCTGCTTTTGCTTCTCTCCAGCCAAAAGTCCCCCTGACTCTGCACCCTGCCAGGAGGAACCCAGCACAGCTCTTGACCTTTCGCTGTTTCTGTTCTACTGCCCATGCTTGGGCAGATGACATTTTCTCTGCCCACCCACCCCAGCTCAGAGGGTCTCAGCAGAGGGCAGCCTGGCAAATCCTGTCTGAAACCACTTTGTCCTGCTGCAGGTCCGGCCCTTGTCTCCCACAGCTTCTTTGCAACACATTTGCTGTAATTTTCCCTTTAAACACCCCACAGAGGGGAAAAAAAACAAACGGGGGGGGGGGGGGGGGGGGTGTGGGGGGGTGGTTCTTCTAGGTCAGGCTGAGCTAAGACAGGGAAAGAAGATTAATTTCTCAGCAGAGCAATTCAGATTTTTCTGCTGCTCCCTGCTGGGGACTGAGGCTGGTGCCAGGAGCACGCTGATCTCCTGGGCACACACGTGTTTTGGTCGTCACCCCTGGGGTGGCACTGAGCAGGACGTCCCCAGATCCATGTCCTGCGTGGGAAGTGTAGGGGGATTCTCACCCAGCAATGGGTGATGGAGGTGGGAAGAAGGTGGAATATCAGGGATGGTGAGGGCCAGGGTGGTGCCCAGCACCCAGCGAGGAGGAAGGGGACAGCTGTGCCCCCAGCTGGGCTGGGACAGGCAGGGAATGAAGCCCTGAGCCTGTCCTTGTCACCCACCCGTGCCACCACACACCCACTGAGCAGGCCCTGAGCAGTCACACTTGTTTTTCACTCCCCAGGAGTGCTGGGAGCTCTAAAGCCAGCGGATTATTCTCCAAAGCAAAGGCCTGGCCTGCTGCCAGCCCCTGGCAGGGAGCAAACAGCCTGGGGAGGCATTTCCCAAAGGCTCAGCTCGTTCCTGGGTCACACTCTGACTTTGCACCCCGTTCAGCAGCCTCACACTCACTCAGTGCAGACACCAGGAACCTCAGGAGAGGTTCCCAAAGGTGGGGAGGAGGCAGGAGGTTCCCAGGAGACCCCACCTGGTGTCTGAGCCTCCCTGGGCAGAGCATCCCCTGGGCAGTGTGGCTTCTCCAGGGTTTGTAGAGGTTCAGCACAAGACAGGCACAGGGAGGGAGATGTCTCTCGCTCTCCTCTCTGCACAAAACTTGTAGGAGGTTCTTTGGAGACCTGTGAGCCTGGGGCAGTGGGAAGGAAAAGCTGGAAGCCAGCTGGAAACTCAGGACATAAGAATCCTACACTGGATTCTTGTGGTTCTTGTGGATCCTTCTTAAATCCTGCTGATTTAACCCAGGACTGGGGGTCCCTGGTGTAGGTTCCAGTGTCCCCTGGGCACTGTGGGGTGCTGCCTGGAGGAGAGCTGGCTGATGGGGCCAGCCTGCGTACCATGCCCCGAAGCAGTGGACTGAACTCAATTGCCCTAAACTGGAGGCAGCTTTGGGATCATGGAGCTCTTCCATGGAGGGATCTGGGGATCACCACTGTGCTGGGACCAGCACCAACACTTCAGCCGTGCCCAGGAGACCATCAGAACATCCCTACTGCCAAAAGCAGGGGTTGGGGGCTACACTCAGCCTTTCCTGTCCCATTTATTGGCCTCTCCTGCCCCACACTGTCTGCAGTGGGTCAGGCAGCACAAAACCAGAGCTCTGCTCACAGTGCTGCTCCCCAGGAAGGGTTACAGATAACCAGGTCAATCTCCGAGGAAGAGGAGGGTGGGGACACTGTGATCCAGTCCCACAGGCTGTGCTGGCACCCACACACCCCCTGCACCCCCTCCCAGGGTCACCCCACAGTGATGCTCCCCCTGCCACAGAGCCCATGGGGTGGTGTGGGGCCACCAGAGCAAAGGACACGGAGTTCAGCCACCTCCCTTCCGACCATGGGGACCTTTTCCCCTGAGAAAAGGATATTTTCATGCTTCCTCCCCACAGGAACTAACAGAAATTGCTTAAATGGCTGCATGGCTCTGGGGACAGGCCCTTTTGGAGCTGAGCTGCACGCAGGCAAGGGAAAGCCCAGGGGACATTTTAATAACAAGCAAGGAGAGCTATTGAAGTGTTTTACTGCCTCGTTAAGGCACTCTAATCTCTGTGTATATCTGGAAAAAAAAATTGGCTGGCTGGTGTTTTTATTGTAACAGAGGTGGGTGTATTCTGGCACTGCTGGGATCCCGCCTGCTTTATCTGCTTGTTTTCTTACCTGATACCAGCAGTGAACAGCCCAAGAGCAGCTCAAGGGCAGCAGCAGCAGGGTCAGGGCCAGGCAGGCCAGGAGGAAGGCTGAGGATCCGTGCTGTGGGCTGTTTCCTACCCACACGTGCTCTGCACCCCATTGCTGCACCCACCTTTCAGACAGATGCAGGTGTTTCCCCAGGGGAGGTTTGGGAAGTTGGCTCTGCACATGCCTGGGATCCCTCATCCAGGCAGCCCAGAGACAGAGCAGGGAGACAACAACAAAGTCCCATCCACCCCTCCAGCTCCAAGGGCTGGGATTTGAGGGATACACAGATTTTGTGACTATGGGCACCTTGGGTTGATATAAGCCAGGCTGAAGGGTCCATGACCAAGGAAGCCCCAGCAAAAGTTCTTCTGCAGCAATACAGGGTCATCCAGCTGCTGAGGTCTAGGTTTGTAAGAGGAGTAGGCTGGGCATTTTATGTCTACGGTATTCATGATTCTATTTTTTACCTCAGCCCAGCAGAAACTGGGGAAATCCTGCTGAGTCCTGCTGGCTCCAGCATCCAGTTCCCCCCTTGCAAACACTCGCGGTGTCGAGGCCGTGAGCTGGAAGGGATGCTGAGGATGGGATGGCAGGGCTGGGTAGGCTGATTGCATTTGCTTTGGAAAAGCTGATGTTTGTATGAGCACTGGCTCCAGTGGTTCTAAAGGGATCCACCCAGGAGCAAATACCACCAGCTGATATCAGAGCTGTGCTGCTCCCAGCCCGGATGGGGTGGAAAAGTCTCTGCTCTACACCCAGATCCACGCTGGGTGGAGGAAGCCATGGGAGCCAAAGCTGCCACTGCAGAACACAGGAAGCAAAGACTCCAGCACAGCTAACAGGGCTGGCAAAAAGTGATCTTCCTTGGAAATATGGGGGAGGAAGGGTGAAGGTGCTGTTCGACACATAGTCCAGCCGAGATCAATGCAGTCACCCTTGCTCCCAGCAGATGTGCCCTGGTACCCAGCTGCTTCAGGAAAAGTGACTTTTATCACTGATGTGAGAAGAGAGGATGCCCAGACACTTGGACTGTGCCTGTTTCAGGGCTGGGGCTAAACCTGCCCTTCTGCAGGGCTGCCAGAGGCCCCAGGGCATTCCACCCCACAGCCTCTCCCCTTTCCCTGGAAACACCGGTGAGCTCAGCAAAGCACTGACAGCGTGCCTGGGAGAAACACAAACATTTATTAAGCCAGCTATGGTTTTTTTTTTTTGAGAATTATTTTAACAGCGCCAGAGGACTTACCCTGTCTCCCCCAGGGACCCTCAGCTGATTCATTGCATGCAGGGTTAGCAGCAAAGCAGGGGACAGCCAGCCTTGGGGACACGGTGGCTCAGTGTCAGCAGGGAGCCACGAGCTGCTCACAGGCAATGGCAAGGCAAGCACAGCTGCTCCAGGGCAGGCAGATGGATGCTTTTCCATAAGGGAACCCACTCCCAGTTTGCTGGGATCCACCCAAGTCCTCAGCAGGTACCATCTCTGAGAATTTTGAGTGTTGTCCTGCTCTCCACATCCATCCAGGGGGGTTCTGAGGATCTGCAGGGGAAGGGAGGGTGCTTGGGGCTCTCAGAACAGAGGGTGATTTCCACTGAAGGTGCTGCTTCAGAGACACCAAGCTGAACCTGCCGTGCACCCAACCACCTTCCCAAGCACAGCCAGCTCACATCTCTCATCTGGAAATCACAGCCAGTCACCTCCCTCTCTCTCAGCTTCCCACTGACATCCTGAGACCTTGTCCTCACTCCTGCCATCCCAGCATGGACAGATCCAAGCTGTGACCCACACAGGCAAGGGAACAACAGCACGAGGGTGAGAGCAAAGCCATCACAGCACTGGGCTGGGGACAGGTGTACCCGTGGGTTCTGAACTCAGGACACTCCAGGCTTATCCACAAATGTGGAAGAGCTTGGCTCCGTGGATCAGGATGCTCAAGTCCTTTCCTGCATCACCTAGTGAAGGCAGAAGGTCCAGCCCAAGCTCTCACACAGCTCCAGCTGCAAGCCATGCTCTACAAGCCAGCGAGGGGCATGCTGGGGACAGCAAAAGGCACAGGCAGAAGCCAAGGCTACAAAGACAGAGATGTCTCCAGGGCAGAGTCACTGCAAATCCACCCCGACAGAGCAGTCTCATGTTTCTGGTTGCTGGCAGAAGGCAGAGACCTGGCACCATTCATCCCACAGATGGAGAAACCCAGCCTTCCCCACTGTGTCAGGGGAGAGCAGGAGCCCCCCTGAGCCTGAGCCCTGCAGGCTCTGCACGTGTGCTGCCACATCCAGGGATCCTGCAGGACTGCTCCCAAGGTGGGAGACAGTCCAGGAACAGACTGGAGAACTGGATTTCCATTTCCCACCCAGTGCTCTGTTGTTCTCATGTGATCACATTGGGAAGCCTGCACCATCATCCTTCCTCTGCAGAGCACGGACAGAGGCTCCCCAGCCCCACCTCAGCCTGGATTCACAGAGGCATCTAAACCAGGCAGGGCTGCACCTGCAGGGAAGGGTGGTTTAGCATCCACAACATGCTGGGGCCAAACCCCAGGTCTGCCCTGCCCTGGATGGACACTGGCCTTGAGGACAATGATGGAAATGAGCAGATCCAACAGGGATGCCCTGCTGATGGTCCTGCCCCACACTGAGCATGCTGGTGCCACCAAGCTGTGGCTGCATGGCAGTGCCTCCTGTCCTCTCAGGGTAGTCATTTTGGGGGAAGGGTCCCCAGTTTTTACAAAACGAAGCTGAGGATTAGAGAAAGAGATCCCAAGAACACCACTGTCCCAGATTTCCCCACCACCACCATCAAGGACAACAGAGGGGTGTCCAGCCACCTGCAAGCAACACCCTAGAGCAAAGGATTAAATCTACCAGGACCCACTTCACCCCTCCTCTCCCAGAAACGTGCTGCAGGGTAGGCACCCAGTCCCCTATGACTGCATCACCAAATGCTGTTTGGGCCGTCAGAGGAACAGTGCAACCCACCAAGCCAGCCTGGCCCCCTTTCCAGCCACCCCAACTCTCCCAAGCACAGAGAAGTGAAGCAGAGTGGGCAGCTGGGAGAGCTGGACCGGGAAGGCAAAGCCAGGGGCTATAAGAATGTCACATCATCCTGTGACTGGAGCCAGCGCCAGTGGGCATCGTACTCCAGGTGCAGTTTGCTGTTGAGTTTGCAGTTCTCAAGGTCAGCCTCAGCTTTCCAAGCCTTCCCATCTGGATTTCCCTTCCCCAGCCTCTCCCTGGCCCCTGGTGGTGACTTGGTGTCTCTGTCTGCCTCCAGAGAGGGGGACTGCTGGCCCAAACACCCATTGGCCACCTGGGGCTCCTTGGCCAGCCACTGATCCTGGGGCAGCCCAGGCGGGGAGAGGTCCACGTGGGGCCACTCGTGCTCCTCTGCGTCCTTCTCCTGCTTTGCAGGACCCCTCTCGAGGTCGATCCTGACCCAATCCTGCTCTGCCCTGGCCAGGGCTCTGCCTGCCGTGGACGCAGCGGCGGTTTCGGCGGCGTTGTGCGAGTACTCGTCCATGTCATCGGCCAGCGTGTCCAGGTAGCTGCCCACGGAGATGCTGTCCAGCCTGTCGTTGGGGTCCTGCAGGCTGTCCCAGCTGCCCCGCCGGGAGGCCTCCTGGCTCTCCACCAGGCTGTACTGGCTGCTGGCCAGGCTGCTGCAGCGGCTGGTCAGCGTGCTCCGCTCCTCCAGCAGCCACTTGACCGCCTCGATGCCCTCGTTCACCACCACCAGCTGCTGCAGGATCTTCACGTCCACCGCTCGCAGGTAAGCCTGGGGGGAGACACACAGCACAGGGGGGTTGAGGTGACCCAGGGGCCTCGTGTCCCAGCCCAGCTGAGGTGTCACCCTGGTGGCCACAGGTCTGCTAAGCGGTTTGATAAAAAGCAGGGTATGGGAGAACATCTCGCGCAGGGAACCGTCCCTGTCCAAGACCTGGGGACATGGCCACTGGTGACCAACAACTTATGGCTTCCACCAGCCACCAACCCCCTCAGGGAAAAAAATCCAGGGCACTTGTGTTGATATCTTCTATGGGAACAAGGAGTAAGCAAGGAACTGGAGGTATTGGATGCAGGTCTGATCCCAGAGCATCCTCCAGGACCTGGGAGGCTGCTGGCAGGGCAAGAGGATCAGGCATTGCTCAGTGCAAGTGTCTGGCTGGACCACCAGCACTTCCCCAGGTTGGTCCCTTCATAGCTTTACTTCTCACCTTCCAGGGTCTGAACCGAGCCTGGTGACAATGTCACACAGCAGGATCTGGAGACCCAAATCACTCCCAAAACGGGAGGACAAGGAGGACAGGCATTGCTGATCACACCACTCGCCTCACCGACTCTTCCTGCCCCTCGAGCCTGGGGAAGCTCTTTGCAAACCTCAGCTGCTGCAGAAACATCTGTTTTCCTAATGGAAAGCCCCGTGTGCCAAGACATTCCTGTCTGTATGATACTGGCCGCCAAAAGCCACTGGATTTCCCCCGCACAGGACACAAATATTTTGCCAGGAATGGAAATAAGGCCACGATGGGGGGAAAGGGAGAAAACCCACTGCAGGGCACGTACAGGCAGCCTGCAGGCTGCAGATGCCCATGGACTCTTTCACAAACACATCCTGTGCCCAGCATCAGCAAGCTGGGACAGAAATCCATGTGCTCCCCAGGGATCATTTTTCAGCATCCTGTACCCTGGGAGTCAGTTGCCCTCCCACGGGTGACCCCACAGCCTCCTGAGACCCCTGCCTCCGGTCCCACAGCCACAGCAGCCACACAAGCATCGGAGGAAGGAGCCTGGGAAAACTCCAGCCAGGATCTCAGCACGTGACACCTCTCACTCCAGCCGACAGAAAAAAAAAAAGGGTCAAAGATTTATAAAGACGCAGCACCAGCCCTCCCACCAACCCCCTCGTGCTCCTCAAGCTGGATTTAAATAAAAAATAGCAGGGATGTGCCCGGATTGGGGCAGGAGCCAGCTTCCAAGTACAGAAATTTCCTTTCTAGGCAAGTTATTTCAAAAACTGCCTACAATGGACTTTTCTGCACGCACTGCTAAAGCATCTGGCCTTGGCAGGGAGACGATGGAGGAGGAGGAGGAGAGCTGGAAACCCCTGGTGGGGGGTTCCCCATTTTTCTCTGCCTCGTGCAGAACTGCAGCTGTCAGAGATGCCCGGGGAGCCAACCCAAAAGCAGAGGGTGGGATAACACTCCCTGCTTTCCACACTGCTTGCTGGAAGGAGATAGCCATCGATTTGCTGCTAGTTCACACCAGCCTGACCTCCCCTCTGCACTCCAAGAACCCCCCTCTCCAGCAAGGCATGGTTAGTGTGGGAGGAGACCCAGCACAGGCTGCTCTCTGTACTCCTCCAGATGCACTCAAGTTCACTGCACGACCTCGCAGCAAGGACGGGCTGTGCAGGGGACTCTCACACTCCTCCTCATGCTCTCCACAGAGAGATACAGCCCTGCTCCCCTCCCCAGCACGCAGGAAACCTCAGGCGCCTTCTCCTTTCAAGATACCTAGCCCTAGGGATAAATCTTCCTCCTCAGATCAGGAGGCAGGAGTGGGAATTTGCTAAATTCTCCTCCCGCCGCCCACTCCCAGGCCAGCTTATCCTCAGAGCATTGAGGGTTTGCTGGTTTCCTGCTGCTCGGTGTGAGGGGTGGAGTTCTGGGTCGGAATTCTGGTCCCTGTTCACGGGGATGGGGCGATGAGGAGAGCCCTGTGCTGGGTTTTGGCACCGGGTTCCGATCCCAAGCTGCTGATGTGGGTGTGAGGTGTCCCCAGCTCCTCACTGGCCAGCAAGGAGAGCCAGGGCAGGGCAAGGAAATGCATTTCTGAGCCAAGGTGAATAAAGCCCGGCCCAAGGCAGGCCCTGCTGGCCACAGGCTGAGGCTGCTCGCACTGGGCAGGGCGAACACCGCACTGCCCCAGAGACCTTTCTCCTCCGGTCAGGGTGCAGCCTCCTGCCGAGGGAGGATGAAAGCAGAGGGAGGATGAAAGCTCCCGCACCGATGGGAATATTGAATCAGCCAGAGCGGAGGGCTCGGGCTGGGTGGTGCTCCGCTCCCCCGGGGGCACGCAGGGATGCGGGCGTATTTAGCCTGTTTCCCTATGGAAACAACGCTCATTCCCACCCGCTCGGCATGTTGGTGCGTGGGAGAGTCCCTTCCCCCAGCTGCACTTGAACCCATTGCCCAACCTCGCCACGTTTCCCGGAGGCGCAGGCACCGCCGGTCTTTGCTCCCTCCACGAAAGAGGGAGGCGAGAACGCCGCCACCGGCACTGCCCCGGTCCCCGGGAAGGGCTGCCACCGCAGCACGGCCCTTTAGAGCCACCCGAGAGCCCCGAACCCCGGGAGAGCTCCCAGCCATGCCTGTGCCTTGTCAGCCTGGGGGTCACACCCGGGGGACGCGACATCCACCACCATGCCCTTGGCGAAGGTCCCTGCCCTAAATTCTGATCCCGGACACCGCGATCCCGACGGCGCTGGGGCTGGGGCTGCGAGGGGGCAGCACGGAGGCGGCCGAGGGACATGCCGGGGATGGATCTGCGTGGGCCGGGGGCAGAGAGCGGCCGGGGAGGGGATGTGAGCTGGGGGCTGTTAATGGGGACACGGAGGAGCAGGGGGGGATCCCCGGAATGCAGGCAGAGCGCGGGCACTATCGGGGACTGTCACCGGGGAGACAAGCGGCTGCCCGAGGCGGCTGCAGTGACCCGGGGTCGGGCCGCTCAGTTACCGGCAGCGCTCCCGGTACCGCGGCACTCACCAGCTCGAGGCGGAGCGTCCGCAGGCGTTCGGCGAGCGGCGGGTGGGCACCGCGGGCCGGTGCGGGTGTCGCGGGCGGCGCGGGCGGCGCGGGGGCGGTGTCGGCCCGCAGCCCCCGGAGCAGCACGGCGGGCGGGCGCCGGCCCACCTTGCCCGCCAGGTCCCGCAGGTCGGCGGGCAGCGCCTCCCCGCCGCCCTCCATGCGGGTGGGGCAGCGGCGGCCGCGCTGTCACCGCCGCCCGCGCCCGGCCCCGCCCCCGCCGCGGCCCCGCCCCCGGCCCCGCCCCCGCCGCCACCTGCCCGCGCACCAGCGAGAGCCGCCGGGGCGCGCGGAGCGGCGCGGGGCGGGGCCGGGGGCGGGTCCAGAGCCGGCCACGCCCCCCGCGGTGTCGCTGCGGCGCCGGAAGCGGCGCGGAGGGAGCTCGGGGCGGCGGCGGCGGCGGCACCGCCGAGCCGGGACCGGCCCTGCCCTGCCCGCCCCAGCCCGGCCCCGCCTCAGCCTCCCCGTGAGTAGCGCGGCCCGCACACGCCTCCCGGCCCTCCCCGCCGTCCCCAAGCGCCTGGGTCCCCCTCTCCTCGCCGCCGCTCATTGCCGCCCTCACGCACCCAGCTCTCCCGCCCGGCCCTTCGCCACCTCCGCCCCCCGAGTGCCTCTGGGCCCCTGAGCGCTCCTCTCCCCGCCCTGCCTGGCCTGCCTGGGGCGCGCTGTGCTCCAGACAGGTCCCCGGCACTGCCGGGGCTCCGCAGCCCGCCCAGGCCCAGCGTTTGCTCCCCGCAGGCCTCCCGCTGGCACCGCTCCTGTGCCCGGGCTGCTGGAAGCTCCGGCAGGACGCTGGGCCCGTGCTGCTCCCCGTGTCCGGCTGGCTGCACCCCCATAGCGGGCATGGGCTGTTGGTGGGCAGGGTGTCTCTCCACCAGGGACCCCTGGCACACACGGCCGGTGAGGCCCATTCCATAACAACTGATGGATCTGTTGTCTGCTTGTGGCTTTGGGCTGCTTTTCTTTCCCAGAGCGTGGGAGAGGGCCCATGGCACTGCAGCAGCCCCGCTGCTCCAGGTTTGGCCTGGAGCAGAGGCAGCCCCTGGCCGATGAGTTCAGGGGCTTCCCCTCACCCTGCAGCAAAGCCTGGCCTCCTGCACTGCTCCCAGCAGTTCTGCTCCAAAGGGCTTTTACTCATGGCACATCAGTGCACTCCACGGCCACTGCCTGTGCCAGGCTCTGTCTTTGCTGGGGAGGGGGTTTGAGGGCAGCTCTCTCCCCCCGGCAGGGAGCCCCGATGGACATGAGAGGAGAGCAGCACACATCCTGACCCCCGCCCCTCACGGCTGCCCCTGCCAGCCCCGGGACTATGGAGGAGTGGAAGCCCAACCCGCCCGTGAAGCCCCACAAGAAGCGGAGCTGGTACCTCGCCTGGAAGTACAAGCTGATGAACCAGCGTGCGCTGCGGAAGCTGTGCCAGGTGAGTCACCCGCGGCCCTGCGGCAGATTAGGAGGGATAATCTACAGGATTTACAAGTTTATAGAGCAGCTGCATGGGTGGAAGTGCGTCTGTTGGCAGTCTGGGTGACCTGACATGCTGAGGAAGCACAACTTGTTCCCCACGAAGCTGCCCCCAAGTGCCTGTGTGTGGAAGGGTCTGCCATGTGTAGCAGCTCCTTGCAGCAGCCAGCAGACCTGTTGAGGCCTGGCTATAGGAGGAGATACAATTATCCAGGTGGCCTTGGGAAGCTTTCAGCTAGAAACCTGGCTCTGGACCCATGCTGATTGCTGCAGGGCTCAGCCTTTAGCTGTTTGATTTGCAAACCAAGCCTGGTATAAGGCACAACAGGTGGACAGAGAAAATAGGGCTTGGTAATAGGATCTCATGCCCCAGAGGCAGCTGGTGTCTGGGAAAGCCTCAGGCTTGGTTGCTTGTGGCTGTAAAACAGCTAATCCTTGGTGGAGACGGCGTCCTGGGGGGGAGTCTGGGGCTGTGAGGACAGGAAGGTTGGACCCCATGGCAGCAAAACACAGAAAAAGGGGCCTTTCCTGAGAGGAGCTCATGAGATCTGGCAGTTGTTTGCTGTGGGAGGGAGCAGGGGAGGGTTTTGCACGTGTCTGGGAGGACAAAGGGTCATGAGGGCTACCTGGGCAAGAAGTCTGTTCAGTTCTGTGTCTGATAGGGTGTTGAAGGCTTGGGAATGGGTCTGGTCATTCAAGCAGGCATTGCTCACCATGCTAGGGCAATGAGCTAGAGCCTGCACACATCTCTGTACTTTGTGGCATTGCTTAAAACACAGATGAATATTTGGCTTAAAATAAGTAGACCAGTGCTGCAGGTATGGAATAGCCAGGTCTACAGCAGCCAAGCATTCATTAGTTAGCTTTGACCAAGCCAGCTCTGCTAGACCTGGCTGCTGGTCTTGCTTAATTCTTATTCCTTGTTGCCTTATTCACTCTGGTCACCAGGGCTGTTCCCTCATGCTCATCAGGGCAGAAGGTCTGGACACGTTGGTGAGGTGGCCTTGCTGCCTCTCCATGAGCCCAGAGCTCTGTTCATGCTTAATTAAAAGCTTTCTGTGCACAGATCCCAAAAGGTGCTCATAGTCCTGAGTCAACAGCAAATTAACAAGCCAAAATGCCATAGTGACATTTTTACCATGGTGTTGTCTTATTGCTGATTTTCCATTTTCCTCAGTTACTCCTTGGCCCTGCTTGGCAGGGATAGCAGCAGCACAGAGCTCTGAGGCAGTGGCTGGGCAGATAGGGCAGAAATCCTTTTAGTGCCTCTCACCAAGGGTAGGCCAGTGTGTGATCCCAGCCCCATTAATGACCTCAGAGAATCAAGGGTCTGTTCCACAGCCCCTGGACCTTCCCAAGCCCTCTGTGTCAGCATCCACAAGGGTTGCAGTTGAAGTTTGCTGCAGACAGCAAGGCTGCAGGCTGCTCTCTGCAGCCTGTGGTACAGTGCAGTTTCCTGAAATCAGACCTCAGCTTCTTCCCTTTGTTTGATTCAGCTGCACAGCATCTCTTCTCCTCTGAACACCCTGCATGCATCCTCTGGTTCCAGAGGGATGGGTGAGAGTAGTGATGCTGCAGCAGAGGCAGAAGTTAAGGTTACCCTGGGAGCTGTAACTCTGAATTACCAAACTCTTTGCCTGCAGGGACCCTCAAGCTTGATGCAATAATTTAGCAGCAATCTGCTCACAGATCTGGAAGCAGGGACACGTTGGATGGAAGTGGGTTAATTCTCACATATCAAGGAGTCAGTGCTCTCCAGGTGATGAATGCATTTCATCATGAAATTCAGTCACCTGTATTTCTTTCTCAGAAAAAATCAGGGGAAGTGTGAAATGCTTGTGATCCTATGCAGGATCTCCTTGGGATGCCCTGCAGCCCATGCCAAGGCAGGCTGGTTTTGGGGTTGTTACTTACAAATTTCTAACACAGAACATCCTGCATTGCAGACAGGTGCTGTCCTCTTCCTGCTTGTGACTGTAATTGTGAACATCAAGCTGATCTTGGACACCAGGAGAGCTGCTTATGAGGAGGAAGAGGAGTCTGCACAGGACTATGGTGAGGGGCAGCATCCTGCTGTGCTTTGAAAGCAAGGAAACCAAGGGTTTCTTTAAGTCAGGGCTAACTTGTGACCAGCTACATCATGAAGAACAAGTCTGTACATGTGGGTTAAAAAAAAATTAATAGAGAATACTGCTCCCTTCCTGATCTGTCTACTGAAGGCTTTAGCACATTTGGTTGCAGAGATCTCTGTGGGGTCAGAGCTGTTGTCATTTGGTATTTCCCCTTACCTAACATCCCTGTAAATTCCCACCCATGACTCCTTGCCTGGGGTGCCTGCTGGGCACTCCCTTCTGGGTGGGTTAGCATGGAACAGGGATGAGCTGGAGGTGCCTTGACTGGCTGAAACTGGGAATTTCTCTGCTCTAGATGATGAGATGCTGAATGTGGAGGTCCCCAGGCACCCTGTCAACAACAAGAAGGTCCTGGATGTCGAGGTGTACTCCAGCAGGTCGAAGGTCTATGTGGCTGTGGATGGGACAACGGTGAGTGGCAGGTGCTGGCTGTCCTGTGGGCAGAGCTGAATGGATAAATTCACAAACAGCAGTGGTGAGAGCATTTCAGGGACTGGCAAGAAGTTCTGCTTCCAGGACTTCTGCTCTGGCACATATCACTGCCATCAGCAAAGCCAAAGAGATTTGCCTCTTGTCTGGGGGCTCTGCTGCACAGAATGGGCAGGGAATAAGCAGAGGTCTTGGCATATGATTCTCATCATTTATCCACTTGCAGGTCCTGGAAGATGAGGCTCGGGAGCAGGGAAGAGGGATCCATGTCATTGTCTTAAATCAGGCCACGGTAAAACATCCCTGTGTCTTTCTAAACTGGGCAGTTTGTCCTTGCTCTTGAACTGTTTTTCCTTGCTCTTGAACTGTTTGTCCTTGCTCTTGAACTATTTGTCCTTGTCTTGAGCTGTTGGCTGCCTGAGGCCAGGGGCAGCCAGGAGGGAGGGAAGGCCCTGAATGCTTTTTGTGTGCAGCTTGCAGAGCATGGCACAGTCATCCAGAGAGTGCTGTCCTTGGGGAGCGGGCAGGCAGGAGTTGTGGGGCTGGGTGATGCTGCCCATGGACCTCTGTGCAGGAAGGCCTGAGGGCTGAGCTTGCCTGGGGACAACTCTGGGACTGACTCCCTGGCATTCCAGAAAAGCCACTCCCTGTGTTGCTCAGGCTTCCAGGCAGATCTCCATAATTCTGTGTGCCCATACCATGTAGTATTTAAGCTCCATCTGACGTATGAATACCAACAGGGACATGTGATGGCCAAGAGGGTCTTTGACACCTATTCCCCCCATGAAGATGAAGCCATGGTACTTTTCCTCAACATGGTTGCCCGGGGCCGGATCCTAATCTTCACCATTAAGGTAGGTGTGACTCTTATATTAAAAAAAAAAAGTCATCTTGAGTCAGGATGTCCTGAAGCTCCTCTGGGCAGTAGCCTCCTAAATGTCATCAAGCATTCCCAGGACTAAATGTCATATCCCCATGGAGTTGTGGCTCCCTGTCTGGATCACCTCCCTTGTCCTCTTGCTCTCCCTTCTGGCTGCAGGTACTGCTGTGCCCAGCTAAGCAGGAGAACAAAAAGCAGATGTGTCAGAGCCCACAGCAATAGGCAAGGGGTTAGGTGGAGAATGGATGTGAGGAAATATAACAATGTGATCCTTCTGGCTCCCAGTTCCAGGCTTTACAGGGGCCCTGTGGACTGTGCTAGGTCTGGGCTGCTGTGCAAGCAACACTGTGCTGCTTCAAGGTTTTTGTGTTTAGCTGTGTGAAGTGTTGCTTAACACATGGCCCTGCTTGAGAACAATTTGGTCTCAAGGAAATAGGAGTTCATGATTCCTCTGACCTGCCTGTGGGCCATTATGAAGCCACTGACAGCTTTAGTGGCACAGAGACTCTGAGGGTTTCTGGCTCAACTGGTTCAAGGGTAGGAGTGAGCCCTGTACCCCTTTGGTATTGATGGGAGACTTCCCTGTCAGGAGCCAGACCTCAGCTGCAGGGTTGTCTTTTGTTCCAGGATGAAGGCTCCTTTCACCTCAAGGAGACAGCCAAGAATGTCCTGAAAAGCCTGGGGAGCCAAGTTGCACCCTTCCTGAGCTGGAGAGACATGTGGACATTTGTGGGCAAGAAGGGGGGTGAGTCTTGAAGAGGCTTTGTGGCTCCTTTTTTTGGGAGAAGCCAGGTGAAGAGAAACTCAGCCCATCCCCAACAGGCTCTATGAGCAGGGAACAAATCCCAGAGAGTGGCAGCTCCATTCCTGGGGGTGAGGATGGTACACCTGGGGGTATGGAGGCAAAGTGTGTTCCTTTAGCAGTTTGCCAGAGGCCAGTGGGAAAAGGTGCCAAGCTGTCCCCCAGGCTGACAGCCCCTTGTCATGCCATGGCAGAGTGGGGCTGGGCCCTTCCAGGCAGTCCTGACCCTGTGTTCCTGCTCCAGGAGAAGTGTATGGGGAGAAGCATGCCAAGTCACCTGCCCTCTCAACGTGGGGTGACCCCGTTCTGCTGAAGACAGAAGTTCACTTGACATCTGTGGAAGGTAAGAAGTACAGCTCTATGGTGTCTCTGGGAGACATCTCCCTGCTGCCTGGTTTTAAGTCAAAGCCATTTAAGGCTTTTTGAGATGATGATGGTAACTTCTAAAATGGGCTTAGCTCCCTTTCTTCCTACTTCCATGGCAATTCCAGGCATGGTTGTTGAGAAAGGTGAGGATGGAGAAGAGGGAGCATGGCCAGTTGTCACCTCTCCAAACCAGACCTGGTCTGGTCTGTTTTCTGACTGTTGGCCTTGAGCAACCTGCTGCTGCTCAGAGAGGCCAGAGATGGGGTTGGGCTCTGAATGGCTCCTGGGGTTGTGTCTGGCATCCAAAGCGTTGCTTGCTCACTGCCAGGGACTGGCTTGCTGGCTGAGCCCAGGGAGAGCCACGTGTGTTGTTTCCCAGCCTGGAGCAGCCAGGGTGAGTGTGTGAGGGTGACAGGTCTGTCTGTCCTCCTTGGTGCCCCCAGATGCTGAGTGCCACTGGCCTGACACGGAGCTGAACCGGCGCCGCAAGCGCTTCTGCAGCAAAGTGGAAGGGTACGGCAGCGTCTGCAGCTGCAAGGACCCCACACCCATCGAGTTCAACCCTGACCCTGTGAGTGCAGGAGGGCTCCAGGAGGGAGGGCTGGGCTGGGCCAGGTGTGTTTTGCAGCTGATGCAGAGCCCTGGCCTTAAGCACTAGCTGAGTGATGCAAACTGCCCCTGGGCAAGCCCTTAGCCCCAGCAAAGGTGGGGTGAGTACCTGGGGCCAGGTCATGCTGGGGCAGCGAAATTCCTTTGCTCTGAGTTGCCAGGAATAGTTACCCTATTCTAGGGATATCAGTGTGAGCAGCAAAGCCTCAATATCTACAGACAGCAGCTGTTGGGACTTTTGGGCTGTCCTTGGCACGGTGCTGGAGAGTTCAGACATGGGTCTCTGAGTGGAGGCAAACTGGGATTTTGGAGCTGGGTCAGAGGTGAGGTGAAGAAGGGAAGCTGGTAGGGTTTTCAGTTGTGCTGAGGGTATCCTGGTTGGTTGGTTGGTTGATTGGTGTGGCCCTGAGCCAAGAGGAAGGACTGTGCAGCTCTGCTGTCTTACCAGTGGGTCCCTACCCCCTGGATCCTGCTCTCAGTGGCATAGAATCATTTTGGTTTGCATGGCCTCTCCCACCCCCACTCACACACATTGTTCTCTTCCAGCTCAAAGACAATAAAGTCTTTGATGTGCCAGTAGCTGTGATTGCAGGGAACCGCCCCAACTACCTGTACAGGTAAGCATTCCCAGAGGGCACAGCTCCTCTGCTCCCTGCACAAGACCAGGCATGGCCCTGGCCCTTCCCTCTCTCCTCTGGCAGCGTCCAGCCTCCTCCTGGGGTGTGTGAGCACAAAGGGCAGACCTTGGGGAGGGGAAGGAAAGGCATAGGTGGGTCTTGTTCCCTAATGGTGCACACTTTGCCCATCCCAAGGGGTCCACACCCACTGGGGCTGTGCTGTGCTCAGGCCCCTCTGTCTCTCCACAGGATGCTGCGTTCCTTGCTGTCAGCTCAGGGTGTCAATCCACAGATGATCACAGTCTTCATTGATGGCTACTACGAGGTGAGAGCATTGCCAGAGATCCCTGTGGCCAGCTCCCTGCTCCCCCAGCCCAGTGCTGGCCCAGTCCTTGGAGGGTGGCAAGTTGAGAGCCTCGTCACTTTTCTTCTGCTGTGTGTCACGCTGCTCCTCACCTGCTCCTACACAAAGCCAGCCAAAGTGAGCCAAGCCATGGTGTGGGTAAAGCTGCCTTGGCCTTTCCCAAAGCCCAGGACTGATATCCCCATGTCAGGAGGGGGTTGGTGTGCAGGAATGGCACATGGTGGTCATGCTGAGCTCTCCCCATCCCCTTTTCTCACTTGATGAGCATTGCCAGCCCCTTGAGCAGGCTCTGGATGTAACACCACCTGTCCAGCTGCTTCACATGGAGACGAACAAACCACTCCAGCACCATTCTCAGTGAAGAGACACAAGAGATGAAGAGACACAAAACAGTGTTTTCCCAAGGCTCAAAGCTTGAGGTTCATGAAGGCTGGGGCCAGGTGGAGAACTGGCCCTTTATAGGCAAAGACCTTCCTCTCACTCAATCCTGCATAGCCCTGGAGAGTCCCACTCAAAGCCATGTCTGTCTGGCAGTGGAATGTACTCTGGGGCAGGCCTGTGGGATCTGAGTAGCTCTCAGGAGCTTGCTAGGCCTCATCTCTGCAGCATCCAGTGAGGTCCTGCCTGGTTGCCTTGGGATGGAGACAGTTGTTCCCTTGCAGGTCTCTCCCACCTCTGCCACATTGTGGGGCTGGGGGAGCTGGCTTGTTTGTGCAGGCTCTTGCTGCACCACATCAGAGCAGTTAAAGATAGCAGCATCCATTGCCATGGCAACTGGAGCAGCATCCCTTAGCTACGAGGGGGCAGCCTGGATGCTCGAGCTGCCATGGTGGATACCTGGGGAAGGGGGAAGGGTTGGTACAATGGGAGCTCCTTCTCTCTTTTGTGGCCAGGAGGTGGGATGCACAGTAAGGGGATGGAGAAGGCCTTGGTGGCTCCTTCTTGGGGTGGGATACCTCAGCCCAAATTTGGATTACTTCTGACTCCGTCCTTGGTCAGAAAGGTCTTTTTCTTGGCAAATGTGAGAGAAAGTTGGGTTGATTGTGGTCTTGCCATTAAACAGCTGTTAGGAGGTCCTGGCTATACCTGTTTGCTTTCTGCACTGTCTGTGGGGGGCTGGAATTGGGACCTCCCAAATATTCTTGGATAGAACTTTGTGTCTGCAAAAAGTGCTAACAAAGTCATGATGATACTGAAGGGCTGGAGGGCCACGAGGGTTTGGCAAGTTCTGTGCTGCAGGGTCTGTATTGAGCCTCACTAATCTCCAAGAAGACAGCCACATGCAGGGGATGCTCCTGTTCTCCTGGGGAGCTGACACTGGCAGGGGAGAGGAGAATGGACCCACACATTTGATGAGCTTTGCACTTTTCCATTGCAGGAGCCAATGGATGTTGTGGAGCTGTTTGGCCTCTCAGGAATACAGCACACTCCCATCAGCATTAAAAACGCCAGAGTTTCCCAGGTGAGAGAGCTTTCAAATCCTGGGACAGTTATTTCCAGGGACCTGGAATAGCATTTGAGGGAGACAGGCTTAGCCCCAGACCTGTGCCAGGTTGATGCTAACACAGACAATGATTGTCTTCTCTTGTAGCACTACAAAGCCAGTCTGACTGCAACCTTCAACCTGTTCCCGGTGAGTGAGGCTGCTGCAGCACAGCCTTCCCCTGGTGTTTGTGATCCCTGTCCCACAGTAGCTGGGATCAGTCCTCCAGGGCAAGGAACCTCACAGACACAGCACACTGCTTGTGTCTCTGCTCTGTCCTGTTTGTCTCCATCCTTCTGATGTTCTCCTTGCCCTACAGGATGCCAAATTTGCTGTGGTTCTGGAGGAAGATCTTGACATTTCTGTTGACTTCTTCAGGTAAAGTTGGGGGTTCCTGTGTGGGATCATTTTCAGGAGCCTCTCTGGATGCTCAGGAGAGGCTGGATCCCTGCCAGCTGTAGCTCTCTTAGCTAAGGCTGAGCAGACCCCTGGCAAAAGCAATAACTGAGCTCTGCCTTCAGAGTCTGAGGCCACTGTCCTGGCAATCAGTGCAGGGTGACTTCAGGGCTGGGGATCTCTTCCTGGTTGACTTTTTGGGGACACTGATCTGTTCACATGGTTGGAGCTGCCCCCTAGTCAGAGGACAGGGGCAGTGTCTAATGAGGCATCTGTTCCTTCTTAAGGAGAAGAGACTGATGGGCAGGAGACAATGCTGTCCTTTCCCCATGGTGAGATGCAGCTTAGCTTGTTTGGGTGCTCCTCCCCTGGTCTCCCACCAGCATCAGTTATCTCAGGCCAAAAATTGGGATAAGCAGTTCCAGCAGTTGGGAGTAGCTCATCTCTTGGTGGAGGGTTTGCCTTGGTTTGCATGGTAGAAGGGTGTTTGACATGCGTCAACTCTTTCCTCAGCTTTCTGAGCCAGTCAATACACCTGCTGGAGCAGGATGAGAGCCTGTACTGCATCTCTGCTTGGAATGACCAGGTGGGTCAGGGAGGGATGGTGAAGCAGGGCCACCTCTGCCTTGTGTTGTTTCTGTGTCAGACTGGGGTGCAAGTTCCACCTTTAAAGCAGGGTGTGTGTCCCCACGGCCACCCTAAGTGGGTCTGTCTCCGCCAGCCCTGGACTCTTCAGAAGTGTCCCTGAAAATCACCCTCCTGTCCCTGCCATGTGCTTCCCGGTGGCTCTTCCTTTCTTTACATAATGAGGAACTCAATGGAGCCCGATGCCTCCCTTTTTCTGGTGGGGCACAGGTGCATTCAGGGTGCTGAACACTCCCCATAACACTGCAGGGCTATGAGCACACAGCTGAGGACCCATCACTCCTGTACCGTGTGGAAACCATGCCAGGCCTGGGATGGGTTCTCCGGAAGAGCCTGTACAAGGATGAGCTGGAGCCAAAGTGGCCAACCCCAGAGAAGGTGAGTACCTTGGAATGACCCTTTCATCTACAGCCCCATCTCTGCCCACCATCAGGCCCTGATCTTCACCCAGCCCCGGGGTGTACAGCTCCTGAAGGGACTGTCCCTGTGCTTATACTGGGGAGGATGCCCAAGCAGAATGGATTTGGGACAGACAGTGACTTGAGGAGGCACATAACCATCCACAGCGCTGGGGCCAAAGGGGCTGGACCTGGTGTGGGCACCCAGAAAGGTCCCTGGATGGCCCCAGAGCTGAGTGTGAGCAGCAGTTTCCCCTCCCCAGCTCTGGGACTGGGACATGTGGATGCGGATGCCTGAGCAGCGCAAGGGCCGGGAGTGCATCATCCCGGACATCTCGCGCTCCTACCACTTTGGCATCGTGGGGCTCAACATGAACGGCTACTTCCATGTGAGTGACCTCTGCAGCCCCCAGGCCCTGTCCTGCTGCTGGACTCTGACTCACACACCTCCCCAGTACTGGGGATGCTTGAGGTCATCTCCAGGGATTGCTGACCACAATCAAACCTGGTTTTCCTTTCCTACTCCCTCTCTTTCTCCCAGGAAGCCTATTTCAAGAAGCACAAGTTCAACACTGTTCCAAATGTCCAGCTTAAAAATGTGGAGAGGTGAGTGCTGCTCACAATGAGACCTTGATGAAACAGTAGCTTGGTCTGACCCTTGTCTCCTTGTGCTGGAGTCATCTCCCATCTGGAATGGCCATAACCTCCTGCATCAGTACACTGGCCTCTGCTGGGGAGTTCTGGCAGTGGTTTTTGCAAGGTTGGGTTTGGCTACCCTGTGCTCCAGGTGGACATGTTCAAGAGTCCCTGGTTTTTGCTGCCACATCTCAAGAATGTGTGGCAGTCCCTGCTCTCCATTTATTTGTTCCAGCTGCCTTTAGTGGTACACTGGGACAGTCTTAAATTTGGATCAAACTATCTGACTCTGCCCTGATCTCTGTGTTCTCTCCTCCTCCAACAGCTTGAGGAAGGATAACTATGAGACTGAAATTCATCGGCTCCTGGGGTGAGTGCCTGCTGGAAGGTGGAGAGACCACAAGACACACTGGGTGAACCAACCAGAACAGAAGGAAGGATGGAGGTGGCCCTGATGGCCCCAGCCACATCTTGCATGTCTGAAGGGGGAAGAGGGAGAAGGTGGGGTCCCCTCTCACTCCTTGTTCCGTTTCCACAGTGAGGCTGAGGTCTTGGACCACAGCAAGAACCCCTGTGAGGACTCCTTCGTGCCCGACACCGAGGGCAAGGTCTACGTCATGTTCATCAGGATGGAGCAGGAAGCAGATTTCACCACCTGGACTCAACTTGCCAAGGTGAGGGCCTTGACATGGCTTGTCCTCAGCCCTGCACTGATCTCTGTGTCACTGGGAAACATCTGGCTGTTGTTCTTGGGTTTTCCCATGGCAATGACACAGCTCACCAAATGGGTTCTTGCTGTCCCTGGGTGGTGATGAAGCTCTGGGTGTGGCTGGAGAGATGCAGCCCTGTGCCACCCTGGTCTTGGGGTACAGCTATGTCTCAGGGCAGGGATTGTGGTTCTTCCCATGCCAGGGGACACCTGGTCCTGGTGTCCATCCCCAGGCTCTGATGCCTTTTCCTCCCTCCTCACCATCCCAGTGCCTCCACATCTGGGACCTGGACGTCCGTGGGAACCACAAGGGGCTGTGGCGGCTGTTCCGCAAGAAGAACCATTTCCTTGTGGTGGGGGTCCCTGCCTCCCCCTACTCGTGAGTACCAGGGACACAAAGGGCTCAGCAATGCCCCATCCTATGGCACTGTCCCCTGCCTGGCACACACCATCCTGCACTCCTGTCCCAGCCCAATCCTTGGGGGATACCTTCACTCCTTAATCAGTGTGGTGGGAGGAGGGATGGGATACATTCCCAGGGCAGGAGGATGTCCCAGTGGGAAGGAGATGATGCCAGGCAGTGCTGTTGGAAACTGGGGTCCTGAGGGGGCCCATCAGCTGTGCCTGCTCCCATCCAGCCCCCTCACCTGCAGGTCCAAGAAGCCCTCGTCAGTGACACCCATCTACATGGAGCCCCCTGCCAAGGAGGAGGGGGCGGTGGCAGCGCCAGCAGCAGCAGCAGTGGCAGCAGAGCAGACGTGAGGCTGGCAGCTGGAAGCAAAGGGGACCAGGGGAGCACAGAGACCCCCACGGTGCAGAGACACAGCTGGCAGCAGCTCTCACAGCCTGGTGACTGGATACAGCCTCCTGTTTTGGGCTGCAAAAGCAGATGTTGGGCTCCCTCCAGCCCCCCGTTGTGGTCTCCCTTTCCCTTGCACAGGGTCCTTCCCTGTAGATGCACCCCAATCCCAGGAACTTGTTTTTTTTAACACAAACACTCTACTAACGCTGCTCCTTTTGCCCCCTGGCTGGGCAAGGCTGGAGGAAGGAGATGCTCAACTGCAGCCTGGAGGAGGCCTCAAAAAACACCTCTGCTCTCCCTTTTGGCCCTGAAGTTCCGAGAAGGCAGCATGGTGTGAGTGCTGCAGCCTGCCAGCTGGGTGTTATTTATTAACTCTTGCCTGCTGGCTTTGTGCCCCATGGTGAGCACAGTGCTGAAGAGGGGATATTCCAGCATCTCTCCTGTTACCTGCACGATGGATGCACCTTGAAGACTGTGTGCTGGTTGGACATCTTCCTGCACACTGGCTTTGCTGCATGGGCTGCAGGCACTGGTGCAGCCCAGCTCACAGGAAGGGGAATGCTGGAGGGGAGCTGGACTTGCTGCAGACACAGAGGGACGCCCACACCCAGGACGAGGGCGGTCAGTTCTGGCAGCTGGAGGTGATTGTAGGTGGAGTGGACCAGGCCGTGTGCTCTGGCTCAGACTGTCCTCACCCACCTTCTGTGTGGGGAGCAGCCCTGCCCCTGGGTGCTGGGAGAGGGGGTGAAAGTGCCTTGCAGAGTGGGAATGGAGCAGTCAGCAGGCATCACGCCCTGGCTGCAGGGGCTGGGTGGGCCAGGGTCATCTGGAGCAGGAGATGCTGCATGGTCCTTGCCTGTGGTACTGTACCCTGCCTCTCCATCCTCCCTGCCCTGCAACCCCCTGCTTCTGCTGAAGGCAGAGGGAGTTTCTTCTCCTGAATTCCCACCCCTTACTGTGGTAAGTTGCTGGCAGGGAAGCTATGAGCTGGTCTGGGATGGGCAGCCTGGCCCTCCCTCTGTGGTACACCCTCGTGCAGAGGGAGAGGGAGGGGGTTCCGTGCCTTAGGAAGGTGCCAGGGCCCCCTCCCATCCCCAGCCATTTGGTACTAATGTCCCTGCACCCTGGGGGACAGTCCTGGTCCCTTTGCTCAGTGCAGCTCCTCCTCTTATCCTTGCTGTAGGAGACCCATCCTCTGCCCTTTCCCTGAGGTAACAGGGGCTCTTCCTCTTCATTTTCTCACTGTGAACTGAGCATTGGGGTCTACACTACACTAACTTATTTATTTATTGCTCCTGGGAAGGGATGGATCACAGGAAGCAGCAGGGAGAGCTGGCAGCCCCCAGCCTGCTCAGGTGCAGCCATGAGATGTTTGTCTCTTGTCCCCCTGACTCCACCCTCTGTTCCCTGCTTTTCTCCCTTGCCCAGAATAGGAATGAAAACTTGTGAAGCAGGGAACTCCTCTTGGCCAGGAGGATCCCAGTGTGGATGCAGCACAGCTCTGGCATGGCTGCAGGGACTCTGACCCTCACAGTCCCTTGCACACCTGCCCCAGCAGCAGGGATGGGATGGGATGGATGCAAGAGGGAACAGGACTGTGCAGAGTGGCAGCCTTGAGGCTGCAGTTCCGGTCTGGGGCTCAGCCCTGCCCTCCCCAGTGCTGCCCTTCCATGGGACTGTGCTCTGGCAGCCAGTGGGCAGGTGGCCCCTGTGCTGGCCCTCAGGGTAGGGCAGGGCTTTTATGAGGATGGAAAAGGGATTTTACTTCTTTCTGAGGAAAAGTAGCTTGCTCCCCATCCCCTGCTTTGGCAGAACTTCCCAATGGTTCTCCACTGCCCTTCCCTGGCACCTCTGTTCCCAAGGCTCAGTTTCTCTTCCCCTGGAAACTAAATGCATCCTCTTGCCCTTCTCAGGTAGGGCTCAGGCTTGGCTTCTTCCCAGCTCCTCTTGGGGCTGGGGAAGGTGGTCGAAGGATAGGGGATGGCTAAACATGAGTTCCCTCTCCTCCCCTGCCAAACAGGGCTGTGGCTCCCTGCTCTCAGTGACAGCAGGACTCAGCTGGTGGGCTTTAGGCTCCCCCTTCTCCACACACCATGCCAGGCCCACGGGGTGCTGTTCTCCATCCCTCCCTGTCCCCCCAGCTCAGGAGTGGCACCGTGGCAGGGCTGGGTGTGTGGCATCACCAGGGTTTGATGCTTTCTGAATGGAATTATTTTTTCAAGAGTAAACATTGCAAAGCTGTTGAGCCTCGTGTGTTTCATAGCTGGCCCTGTGCAGGGTACAGGGCTGGGGTCCCTGGCTCTGGGCTCCTGCCTGGAAAGGACAGACCCCTGTCCCCTGGTGGCTTGCTCTGCCCAGGGCTGACAGGCCTGGCTGTGGGCTGTGCCAGCAGAGGTCCCCTGTGTGGTGCCATGCAGTGCCAGCAGGGCTGGCACAGGTTTACGAGCTGTTTCCTCCTCAAGCTTTATCGCTTTTATCTTCATCAACTGATGGAAACTCTGACGAACTGCCTGGTGACTCGTTCCGTGTTCCTCCTGCCACCTCCAGCTGCTGTGTCCTGAGAACGACGGCCTTGTCACACTCTTGACCACTCCAAATGTCTGCCCCTATGGGGCAGGGAATCCTGGAGGGCTGGGAATGCACCCATTTCTGGGGCAGAGACCACAGGACTGAAATAAAGTGGTAGGGGGAGAGTGTGAGCCACCAGCATGGACCTGCTGCTTCCTGCTCCCCTGCCTGCTCCCTGCAGCCAGCCCGGGCTGACAGCCCCTCCCCAGGACCTTTCTGGCAGGGCAACCCCTTGGCAGCAGTTGGTTACTCAGTGCCAGGGCCTTGGTGAGGGGCTCTCACCTCCACATCCGCCGCCTGCCGCGCCAAGCCCTGCGGCACCCGGTCTGTGCCAGGGCACCGTGGGCGAGAGGCGGATGCACCTGCTGGGGGCAGAGCCCTGCAGAGCACCTGGGCTCAGCTCTGACACCTCCAAACCGCGGTTATAGGAGCATCCCCTCCTGAAACAGAGGCATGACAGCAGCAGCAGGTTAACCCCTTGAAGGGGAGAACCTGTGCAGGCTCATGGAGAGCCTCGGCCCTCCAGGTGCTGGTGATACCAGGGTTCATCACCCCGGGGCGCTGGTTAGATGAGCCGGGTCACTCATCATCCTGCCCTTTTGGGGGGATCTCTCTCACTTCCTGGTGCACGCTGCTGGTGCTGGAGCATTCCTGGCAATCCCAGGAGCTGGCTGGGCAGCTCTCCCCTCACCTGCCCGCCCTGAAGTCCGACCCAGCGGCTGTCCCGGCTCAGCCCCATGCAGCAGCAGCTGCAGCACGTGCTGCCCGAGCTGCATTTCTCACCCAGCCCCTGCAGCCCCCCCAGCCCGGCCTCCCTGGCTTTGTGCAGCACCACAAAGGAGAACCTGTCCGGGCTGCCCCACCTCCCAGGAGCTGGCTGATAATTAAACAAAAGCAAAATAGCGTTGGCATGAAACTTGACCTTTCCAGAGCCTGTGGGGGGTGGGGAGTTTTGCATAGTTTCCGGTGGTGTTTATTTTTATGCATCATAGTTTTTTGTTGGAGATCTGAGGAAGTAGGAAGTCCCTGTGCTCCGATGACGAGCTGGCATGTGGGAGACAAGGTCTAGGCTGACCCTTCCCATGGCACATGGGTTCCTCTGTGCCCCTCAGATGGAGGGATGAGCCTTCCAGCCAGAGTCCTCTGGGATAACACACCCAGTCCCCTTGAATGGAGAGATGTCATCACTAGAAGGATGCTCTGTGCTGGCCCCGTCTCCTTCCCTCCGTGGGAGGGAGTCAGTGATGCTGTGCCCAGCCACTTGCATCCCAGCCCAGGGAACTGATCCTAAATTTTCAGCACCCTCTGCCTCATAAAAAGCCATAAATGCCAAAAGCATTTATGAAAAAAGCATTCATAAATGCCAAGGTGCCCAAACTGCTCCCAGGAAGGGGCTCTGCTCGGCTTCTCCCCTTGTTCCCAGCTTTGAGGGGGGGTCCTCTCCCTGCACCCAGCCCATTCCTGTCCCTGTTCCCTGCTGTGCCTGCAGACACAGGGCTGCCACCTCCTGTTCCCACATTTAAGGTAGGTGGCAAATTAATCTTCAACTGGGTGCCAGGATTGCTGTGACGGTTGTTGTGCCGTCCCTGCCCGGTGCAGCATTAATGATTAACACACCGTTCAGTGGCAGCTCCTGCCTGCTGCCTCTTGAACAGCGCTTGCATCGCTTCCTCTGATATCCCCACTAAATTATTAGGGCAGTGAGCTGCCTAGAAAGCACTGCTGGGGTCAGGCTGGCAATAAGGACGGTTTATCTCTGAGGAGAAGGGAGTCAGGCAGGCAGTCTGTGCCAGGGAAAGAGTGTATTGCCTCACTTCTTCCCCAGGACCAGCCTGAGCCCTTCAAGGATAGCCTCTTCTCCCCAGTCTGGGAACATCCTGTCCCAGCTTTTACAGCAGGCAGGGGTAATTCCCCACAGCAGGCACTCCTTGGCAACTAATGCTGGATGAGTTTGCTTTAGCTTCTTATTGCCCCCTTTATTAGCACAAACCCAAAGAGGTGCAGCTCCTTCCTCCTTCTTTTCGTGTACCTGTTCCCATCGATGCTAATTCCCAGGAAGGAGGGGGCGGCTCCTTTCCTAAATTACCGATCACTGCCCACTCCCTGCCAGCACAGGCGCCTGCACCACGCAGGGTTTCACCTGCTGTGCCCTGGGGCAAGTAATGCCGGTGGAGATTGCACCCTGCAAATCTCCAGGAATTTTCGTCTCTGTGCAGCTCCCGTCATGGCACTGGCTGCTTGCCCAAGGTCCCTGCAGGGAGACTTTGCCCTCCTGCCTTCCCTCACCCTGTATCCCAGGTGGAAAAGAAGAACCCCCACTTTGGCACACACCCAATGTGCCAGGTTCTCGAGCCATCTCCTGTCATCTGTCCAGGGGCAATAAGGAAGTTTCTGTTTGCCACCATAATCCCTCAGGGACCTTTTGGCCTTGTGCTGACAGTTTCTGTTTGTCCCAGCGTGCCAGTCTGTGAGAACTGGGCAGCCCTAAGGGATATAAAGTGCAGAGGTGCCTGGAGGCACCCACATGAGCTGGTGGGGTGGGTGGTGGGCTGGGATGTGCCACAGGGGGAGCAGCTGGAACGGGATCTCCTTGGAGAGCCCAAAGGCTGTGGCAGTGCTTGGGCAGTGGAAGTGGAGGGCAGGGGCACAGTGGGAGCACAGGGAGGCTGTGCCAGTCCAGTTTACCCCCCACTACTCTGATTTTGGCTGCTGGGGCAGCCAAGAGCCGCGGAGGGCAATTGGGAGGAATCGCATCCGCACCCGCGAGGAGAAACTGGTCCTGCAAGTTTTCCCAGCAGGTGGAGGGGAGGGACCAAGCCAGTGGTTGCAGGGCTATTTACAAAACTCAGTTCCACAGAAACAGCCTGTTCTGACCCATGGAAACCCCTGGTGGGAGGAGCTGCAAAGGTGGAAGCAGCAGTTTCACCCCTGAGCCTGCTCCGCCCCACGGGGTGATGGTGAGGGGGTGTGTGCCAGGAGCCAGCTCTGCAGGGCATCCCAAAAACAGGGGCAGAGCAGGGCACAGCCAGGTGTGCCCAGCTCTGTGCCAACTGGTTCCTGGGCACCACAACACCTCCAGGAATGGCTTCCTGGCAGCTCCTGCATCCTTGTAGAGGGATAAGAGGTATAAAAGCCCTGACACCACCCATGAGGTGGCGCCAGTTTATGGTGGAACTGGGACCTACTTATTCGCCTGTCCGGGAAAGACAAGGCTGTTTTCTCACAGCTTCCCCTACACCCTGCCATGGGGCAGGCCAAATGCCCTCTCCTCAGGGCTAAGTGACCCAGTGCAGGGAGTGGGTGCCATGCTGTCCCAGTGTCCCTGTGACAGGAACTGGATGGCACCAGGGAGATGCCAGACCACGGCAGCGCTCGGTGCAGCCTCGTACCGGGCAGGAGCTGATAAGGGGGTGCCACAGCAGGCACAGAGCGAGGCAGGGCTGGGGAGGCTGTGTGCACACTGGCCTCCTGCCACCACCCCTGTCCTTCACCTCCCTGCCCCACAGCCCTGGTGCTCTGCCCCACAGCCATGGCAAAAACAGGGTGAAGGAGCCCTTGGGAACACCACCCTGGCTGTGCTTTTGCAATGGGGAAACTGAGGCAGAGTGAGTGTATCCTCAGGAGCAGAGAGGGAGGAGTAGTAGAGGTGTCTGGAAACCCCCCAAGCCCACCCACACCTCCCACATCCCCACACATAGAGGGAGGGCAGGTGCATCAGACACAGGCAGTGCAGGACAGCGCTGGGGTGGAGATGGTCAGAGGGATGGATCCTGCCACCCTCACCTCTCCACCACCCCATTCCAGGTTCCTGCAGCTGATGGGGACACAGGAACCCCCCAGCCAGCCCTGCCTTTCAAGCCAAGCTGCTGCTCAGTGCCTGGCTGGGTGCTGTGAGCAAGCAGTGGCTGTTGCAGAGGGCAGGGGCTGTAAGGTTGGTGTGCTCCCCGCACCCTGTCTGTTGTGCAAACACAGGGCTGCTCTGTTTCCAAGCACCTGAACAGGTGGGGAGCCACAGGCAAGGAGGGCAGGGAGGCTGTGGGCAGGGCTGTGCTGCCTGCAAGGACAGGGAAGGGAATGGAGAGGGAGGTGAGGCAGCCCTCACCTCTGCACCCCCAACCCAGCAGAGGGTCTTTATTAAAGGCAGCACCAAGATCAACTCCAGAAAATAATTTGTATCCAAGATGAAAAATTTATTTGCATTTCTTTACAGCAGGGAGAGGGGCTCAGGCACAAAATGGCATGGGGAACAGGGCAGCCTCAGACCCTGCAGAGCCAGGGACCACCAGGGCTGTCTCCATGCCAGGGAAGGGCATCACTGTGCCATTGCCAGATCAGCAGCCCTGAACAGCCCCTGTGCTGCTTTACCTCCTGCTGGCATCGGCCAAACAGACCAAGCAGCTTCTCCCAACATCCCCTCCCAATCAAAACCCACCCCAAATCTCTATGTACAGGCTCTGTACGCCATATCAGTACAAAAATATACACAAACTCTACAGATCCCAGCTCAGTAGATCAAAATACAGCTACAAATCACAGTGCACAGGAGAGCATCAGACCCGGGGAGGGATGGGGTCCCCCTGAGAGCATGGCACGTCACAGGTGCACCCCAGCATGGGGGGGGTGGCAGCTCATCTCCTGCCTCAGGGGGTCACTTCTCATCCAGCCGACAGTACAGGTACATGGAGACGGCCATGGCTGCAATCTGGGGGTGGCAAGGTGCAAATCAGCCCCCTCAGATGTGCAGTCCCCCTCCTGCTCCCAGCAGGGCTTTGGGGCACAGCCCACCATGCCCAGGGCACCAGGGGAGGGCTGGATGTGCCCAGGGAAGAAGGCTCAGTATCTGGAGCTGCACCAGCCCCTGGGCCCCCAGGCTGGCCCAGCCCCTCCTCCAGGCACAAGGAGAGCAGCAGAGCAGGGCTCAGGCACTCACCTCCAAGGCAGCGATGCCGGCTGCCACGCCGCCCGCTACCCCCGCGTTGGTCCTGATTTCTTCCAGGATCTGCTTGAAACAGCCCTGCACGGGGCAACCACACGGGTGAGGATGGCAAGAGTGGTGATAGCCCAACTGCCAGGGCACAGCATCCCCCAGGAAGGGAGGGACTGCTTCTCCAACCCAGAGCACACTGCCATGGGGAAGGTCTGAGGCTACAGGGGCAACTCGGCCACTTCTCAGACCAAATATTGGGTGGGGAGCAAGGAAAGGAAGGGAAGAAGCAGGAAAATCAGCCAAAAAGGCAGAGTGGTGCCTGGGTTCATGCCAGCATCAAGAATGCCACCCTATTCCCTTTAGGACCAGAACAACATAACAGCTTTACTTGTTTCTAGCAGGGACAAGCCAAGGCCACCACAGCCTCCCCCCAGAACTGAAAGCCTGTGGGACCACCATGTGCAGAGCTGGGGCTGGAGCTACAGGACAGGTCTCCCTCCCCGTGCCCAGGCACACCCCAAGCCAGGCTCTGCCAGCAGCACACCCATACCTGGACAGCCATTTCTGCAGCCATGGTGCTGTTGCAGGGTTCCTGCATGTCACAGCACTGCCAGGGGTAGCCGTTGTGTGTATCAAAATAGTAGGAGTTGTTGAAGTCTGTGTAGTTATTCAGGCCACAGCAGTGAACCTAGGAGGGACAGAGAGGAAGGGATGGGAAGAGCATCACAGAATCACAGAAATTCTAGGCTGGAAGAGACCTGTAAGATCATCGAGTCCAACCCATGTTCTAACACTTCAACTAGATCATGGCACCAAGTGCCACATCCAGTCTTTTTTTAAACTCTTCGAGGGATGATGACTCCACCACCTCCCTGGGTAGATGCATCCTTCAGGTCTCCCTCCATGCTCTGACACCATCTGGACCCCACTGGCTCATGGAGGGGTCACTCAGCTCCACCCTGCTCAGTATCACCTTGGCACCAGGGTTTTGCCCCACACACCATCACGCACAGCTCCCACCCCACCAGCCCCAAGCAGGCAGTTCCCAGGAGCCTGAGGAATCGAGGAGGTGGTGACAGCTCAGCACATCCAGGACTGTGATGTGTCCCCACTTCCCTCTCACTGTCCCACCCAGATGTGCACCACCTGAGCCCAAGTTGGGAGGATCCCAACCCTCAGGTGAGGTCCACAGGGCTCAGCACACCTCTGTCATGGTGATATTCCAGATCTGTGTGAATGTCTCATCCGCCCCATACTTCTCCTTCAGCAGCGGGGTCACCAGCCCTGTCAGTAACGTCTCTGCCTGGAAGAAAGGGCAGGAAAACACCATCAGAGAAGGTCCTGGGGAGCACCACAGGGCTGAGCACCCCCATACTGGTCTCAGCCTATGGAGAGAAGACCAAGAAGACCCAGCATGGCCAGCAGTCACACCATGGCCGTTTGACCCACAGAGAGTTTTCCTCCTCCCCACCAAGCAGAGCTTTATGGCACAAGGTCACTTATGCCCTGAGTCATCTGATAAGCAGTGTTAAGTGAGGGAGCCAGGAATGAGTTTGCCCTGTGGCTGACTTCTCCAGTGCCTAATGAGGCAGTCACCTTTCTTCCCAGGTGGTTTCTCAGGTGCCTAATAATAGGGTTAGTTTGCTCAGCATGAGGCAATAGGAACTTCCTCCTCCAGTGGCTCCTACCCTCAGAGGTGGGGAGGTGTCAGGCCTGAACTGGTTTGGGACTGAGGGGCTTGACAGAAAGTGGGCAAAACTTGTCCTAAAAATATGGGGTTATGGTAGAACAGGAACCCTGCTCCCACCACCCTCAGGCCCCTCCAGCCTGCCCACACAGCTGGTGGCAGCAGTGACCGACATCCCAATATCCCAACATCCCTTCCTCCTGCAGCACTGACCACCCTGAGCAGCCACACCCTTGGGCAGCACTGCCAGCCCATGGCTCCTGTTTTCCCAAGGGGCAGGACACATCCCAGATCAGCCCAACCCAAAACTCAGGGATTGCACTCACAAGACCTGTGAAGACCAGAGCCACCACGGCAGCAGCAACTTCAGCAATGAAGATGATCAGCACCACTGAGAAGAACTAGGACACAGCAAGGGGAGGGAGGTCAAACCACAGCCGGAATCCTCAGGGACCCCTGGAACCCATCTGCCTCCCCAGGGCTCCAGCCCTCCTGCCCCACTGCCCTCAGCTCTGCTCCTGGGCAGGAGCAGCACAACCCTGGGGTCCTCCAGCCGTCCACCTGCAAGGGGCTGGGCTCTCTGCACACTCTCCAAGAGAGGGACCTCAGCTCAGCACACCCTCCTGCCTCCTCTCACCCTTTCTGGGGCAGACTGAGTCCAGCACTGCCTTTCCAAGGCCCACCCAGACTGCCGCCCCATGGAAACATCCCCAGAGAAATCTGCCCATCAGGCCTCCCCCACCACAGACCCAGCTCAGATGAGGTTGATAAGGAGGTCAGCCAGGTCCATACCATCATCAGGAGACATTTGCTCTCCTTCTGGGCACCGTAGCACCCGAGGAAGCCGATGACCAGCAGGATGGCACCAATGACAATGAGGAGATAGGCCACATTCACAACCTGCAGGATGCTGGAGGACAGCGTCCCAAATATTTTCAGGAATGACTCTCCGTCCACTTTGACCCAGATGCCAACTCCCAGGAGGGTCCCACCACTGAGCTGGGAGGAGAAAGGCAATGTCAGCTTCCAGGTAGGCACGAGATTTGATACCTGGGCAAAGCCCTGGCACAGGTGTTTCTCCCCTTGGCGGTTTTTCACCACACCAAAGCAAGACTCTGTGGCACTGCAGGCAGCTCAGGGCACTGCCAGACGGGTCAGCACCCTGAAACACCACCAGCACATCCCCTGGGCAGTGTCACAGCTGAGGGGTTTCAGTGCCAGCAGTGGAGCAGCCAAGGCAGCAGGGCCACCACGATCCCACAGGGCCAGCTCAGGCTCTGGCCACCATCCCACTGCCATGAGCTCCTCCATGCAGGGCGGCTGCCTGCCCACCCAGGGGAGAAGCTGAGCAGCCCCTGAGCCCAGGCAGCCGTGTACTCCTGGGCAAGGTCAGCTCTGGGCAGCCTGCAGCCTGTGCCAGCCCTCCCCTCTGCCCCCTCGACCTTCCCCACCACACTCAGATCCTGGCAGGGGCTTTACAGAGGGGGTGTTTCAGCAGAGCGAGCTGAGCCGGGAGGCTCTGCACCCCCTCCTTCCCCTCCCACAGCCCCTTCCCGGTGGCTCCTGCAGGGCCAGGGCAGCTCCTGCCAGCTCCACTCCCTTTGCCCCGGTGGGAGCAGAGCCTTCAGCGCTCTGAATTCCCGATATCCAGGGACCCCAAAGCCACAGTCACACACGGGGGCTGCTCCCGTACAGAGGCAGAGCCCCCAGGCAGGGACACAGCGAACCCACTGCTCTGGGGCATCAGCAGCTTGCCGAGCTTCACACAGCGAGGGACGGGGGCACCTGATGCAACAGCCGCTGTCCCCGGAGCACGGCACGGCCCGCTGGGCTCGGCAGGTCCCACCTGCATCTACCTGTCCACACCTGCACCCCACGGCCCACAGAAAGGGCAAGAGAGCACGGCCAGACCCAGACCCACCCACACCCGGCTCCGGGGGCTCCCCGGGACCCCTCCCGCAGACCCCAGCCCCCTTACGGCGCACTTACGAAGATGGCCAGGTTGAAGAGGATCATCATGACCTTGATAAAGGTGAAGCACCCCATCTTTGCACCTGCGGAGAGCAGAGAGGTTACCGGGGGAGCCCCCGCCCAGCGCAGCCGCTGCTCCCCAGAGCCCAGCGCCCCTCCACGTGTCCCCACGGGCGGGGAGGCACAGACACAACTTACCTGAGGGGAGAGCAGATCCCAGCGTCCGTCCCGTCCCGTCCTGCCCAGCCCGCTGTGCCTCCCCCGCCCCGCCGGTGCCGCCTTTTAACGGGGCGCGCCCGGGGCCGCCCCCGCCGCCCGCGCCCCCCGCCCCGCCGGGGCCACCCCCGGGCCGCCGCACCGGAGCCCTGCTGCCCTCTGCCGCCTCCCCGGGACACTCCGGCTCCCGCGGGGTCCCTGTGCCGTGGGACACTGCCAGGGCACAGCGGGGCCAGCCCGGCGGGGTCTGAGCCCTGCCTGTCCCCGCGGCCGTGCGCGACCACCGCGCCGCGTCCTGGGCACCGTCCTTGGGGCACCGTGCCCGGGGATCCCCGGCTGGGGCACCCCAGCACTCATGGGGTCACACCCCGGCCTCTCTCTGCTGGGACACCCCATCCCCGCAGGCCGATTCTGGGGGTGAGCTGCTGCTCCCCCTCCTCAGCACCGCAGGGGTCTCTGCAAACCCCAAATTTCCAATATCCTGGGCCAAAAGAGAAGCTGGCAAATGGAGAACGGCCCCAGGAGCTGCTTTGCGAAGGAGAACCCAAAGCTGCACCGGCCGTCCCCGATGCTGCACAGCCAGGTGGAGTTTTGCTGGCGGGGACACAACAGGGTGAGGCGGGAGAGGACAGTGACACAGTGACAGCCATGACAGATGCCAGCACTGGAGCAGTCAGCGGAGACCTGCCATTGCCTAAGGGCTGCCAAAAGTGATTTTGTTTGGAAAGACGCTTTGAAAAAGGGCTGGTTTCCCACAGAGGGGGACTGCAAGGGTCACAGAGCCCAGAGGGGGATGCTGCCTCACCAGGCCTGGCCCTGGCAGTGGTCCCTGACCGTCCAAGGGCTCCTTTGGGGCAGGAGCTGGTGCTGGTGCCCTCACCAGAACCCACAGCGTGTCCCTTCAACTTGTCATTAAACCACAATGCAGGAGGCAGGGGAGACCTCATCCTGCAGGAAATCAGGCTCTGTGTGCTCAGCACGCTCCACCCCACACCCAGCTCCCCCAAAACCCCAGAGCACATTCCCTGCCTGGCTGTAATGATACATTTCAGCAGGATGAAGTCAGCCCCACTGGCTCCAGCCAAACCACAGTGGTATTTGGGGGAAGCCTCTAACCCTGCCAGGCACCCTGGGCATGAGCACAGCCCCTGCTGCAGCTGGGGGCTGTGGCCCTCGCCCCCTCAGTGCCTGTAGCCTCAGCCCTTTCTGCCAGGAAGCTGCTCAGAGTTGGGACCAAACCTTCATTCCTCTCCCAAAGGGGGACAGCTGTTCCTAAACCCCCTCTCATACCTCCCAAAAGTTGCCCCATCCCAGCCTGGCCCTCTTTGCTGCACACAAACACCACCACAAAAATAATTTTGGCAAATACATGAATACTTGCTGTCCCTCTCAGTCATTGCCAGCCATAGGGGAAACACGAGGACAAGACATGGACTGCTCCCCTCACCTTCTCCAGCGCCTGGTGCCACAGCCTGGGGTTCGGCTGCTCCCCAGCATCCCCCCCCCTGAGCCCCATTAGGCAGCCAGGGCTGGATTTTCTGGTTCTTTGGGAAGGCCTGACCTGACCACAGAAGGACGAGTCCAGTGACATTCCCATGTCCCTGCTGCCCAGCAAGGCCACGCTGTCTCCCTGCTGTCCCCATCCTCTCCCACAGCCCAGCTGGATCCGCAGCATCCCCTCTCTGGAGCCTGGGGATGCCTCTCACCAGGGCAGGGGCAGCAAAGCTCCCCCAAGCAGCTTCCCTGGGACACTGAGAGCAGGGAAGTGGCCTCAGTGTCCCGCCTGGTAAAGCACTGGGTAAAAGGCCCCAGGCATCACCAGCCATGGAGACCAGCCAGGTCTGTGACTGACAGCATTTTGGGATATCCCCAGCCAGGTGAGTCCCTTGCAAAGGGCTTTCCCATGTCTGTTTTGGGCTGGCAGCATCTACCCAGCTGTCTGTCCAGACACCAGGACAGTCAGGATGGACAGACACACGGCAACGTGCCAGCGATGAACCCGACTTTGGGCTTGCAGATGGAAGTTACTGAATGTTGCAGATTTGTGCTGAATTCATCACTTCCCACCTCCTGATGCAGAGAAATAAACATCTGCATCAGCCAAAAGTTTTTGATGTCTTGAAATATTTCAGTTCTCAGCCTCGAAAGGAGTCAAAGCATTTTGGCTGGAGAGCTGGGGAAATCCGAATTCCCCCGCCCTGGGATGGACCAGGCAATGGGACCACACCGATTTCCCTGTGGCTGCAGCTCCCGCTTCCGGGGGAGCGCTCCTCATTCCTGTGGCTATGCAAAACCACGGCTGGAGTCACAAAACCAGGAGCTGCCCCATCTGGTGCTGCCACCTCTCCAGTGGGGCCGGGGCGTAAACCCAGGGGTGAAAAGGGGCAGTGCCAGTGTGTTCCAGCAGTGTGAGTGTGTGCCAGTGTGTGCCAGCAGTGCCTCCCACCCCTGTGCGTGTCCCTCAGGGGAGGATCTGTCCCTGAGCCTCACAGGGATGATGATGTGATGCTAATCGCGGTGCTGTCCCAGCTGTGCGCTGATAACCAACAAGGGGCCCGATGGCAGCATCCCTCCTTTGCACCGGGCTGGGCTTCCACCCGCGCCTGTCCCCCCCAGCCCAGATCCCATCTCCTTGTTCCCCACGCGTGTCCAGGCCGGCAAATCCCCCTGCATTCCCTACCCAGGGCCGCGCCGATCGGCGGCTGCAGCGCCGGGGATGCGGAGGGGTCACCCCGGGACAGCTCCGAGCGAGCGCCGCCGCTCCGGGGCTGCTCCGGCTGTGCCGGCTCGCCAGACACGGTGTCCGGGCCTGGAGGGTGCTGGAGCTTCCTGCTCCCACCCAGGTCGGGTGTGGGACCAGGCCCAGCCCCGCTCCTGCTGCCCAGAGAGGTGACACTGAGGTGGCATTGAGGTGGCACTGTGTCCCCAGGCTGGGGTGCCCTGCAGCACCCCCTCCAGCAGCTCCTGGCAGCTGCCTTGCTGTGAAGCTTCAGCCCTGCAGAGAGGCAGGAGAGAGCCCCAGCAGCCCCTTCAGCCTGTTCCTGTGTCCCTGGGGTTTTGTGCTGCCTCCCCAGGCTGGGGTAGCCCCAGCCCAGCAGGCAGTTTGGGGTGGTGGGAGCGAGTGGCCAGAGGTTGTCCATGGATGCCACGCTGGGAAACCTCAGTTTGAAGAGGCTCTCCCTAAATCAGAATCCACGGAGCTCAATGCTAGGCACTTGGGAAGAAAACCAAGATTCATGGAGTTTTCCTGCTCCTAAAGAGAAAGCAAAGCAAGGCCCATTCCGAATTGAGGAAACAGTGGTGATACCAAAAAAGCCAACTGTGAAATGTCAGAAGAAATCAAAAACCTTTTCTCTACGTTTTTTCTGGCTGGGAAGGGCTCAGCCCACTCTGCAGCCTCACTTTCTGCAGCCGGGCATGTTAACAGCTCTATTTCTGCTCTATTTACTCACAGCCATGTGGCCAACTGCCCTGGACATGAGCATGGCAGCCCCCAAAACCAAAGAGGGGAGCAGTGGGACCCCTGCCACTCTGGAGAGGCCAGGACAGGCAGCCAAGGTGAGCTGAGCATTCCCTGGAGATGCTCCCATCAAGGGTTGTCCCTCCAGGCAGGGGAGGGGAGAAGCTGCAGAAGGACATGGGGACCCCAGTGGGGACACATTGCTCTCCTCCCCACAGAGCCATCCCAGGCTGCCCAGACTGGGAGCAAAGGGGGCCTGAAGGCAGCAAGGACAGCTCCTCCCGCTCTCCACAGAGCAGCCAAGGCCCGGCAAGCCTCGGCAAAGCTCTCATTGCCATGAGTGCTGCTCATTAATCCAGCGAGGGTGGATTAATCAGGGCCTGACCAGCAGCTCCTCTGGCTCAATCAATAGCAGAGAAGGTCTGGAGCACCTCTTGCAGCCTTCACAGGGTGCTCCTGAGGGCCCGCTGCCCACCCTGGGGGATGTGCCCACCCTGGGCTGCAGTGGTGAGGGGGTTTAAATTAACCAGGTAAGGGGGACACAGAGTGAGGGCAGGGTGCAGAGTTCTGGGGGATGATCCTGGCGCAGAGCAGCAGGAATGGGGTGTCAGGGCTGCTCTGGGGGCTCTTGAGACAGGAACCAGCCACTGAGAGCTGGGGTGATGCTCAGCACCACACAACCACTGCAGGGTTGAGGGCAGTGGAGCTTGGCCCCAGCAGGAAATGGTGCCTTTGTGTTTGGGGACCTCGAGGGTGCATCAGGAGGGAAAGATTGTCTTGGTTTGGAAAGACAGATGTCTGCTAAGGAAGGCAGGAGCCTCCCTTGAAATGGAGATACCTGCCCTGGGCAGGAGGGATGCCATCAGCAGCCTGGGCTGGGGAGATGAGGGGTTCATGCCAGGCTGCTCCCCTGCCCTGGGCTGCAGGGCTGTGCTGATTCCCGGCTGTGTATTGGATGGATCCTGGGGCAGGATGGGTGTGACACCAGGATGTGCCCACCAGCCTCCCCAGCTCCCATCCTGTCCCAGGAGGGAAACACCTCCCTGCCTTTCCCCAGGCAGCCCCCAGAGCACCACCGGCCCTGTGCTCAGCCTGGCTGATCCACAGCCCTGGGGACACGCTGGGGACACCAGGCAGGGCTCCAGACACTCAGCAAAACCTCTTCATCCCTGGTGGGGCACAGGGATCATGACTGGGGGAGCAGGACCATGGGCAGAGCAGCACCTGGCTGTTCACAGCCACCTCTGACCCTGTCCCACCAGCAGTGACAGCAGCACGGTGCCAGCAGAAATGGGATAAGGGAGAGAAAAATCCCTTTTTATCCCCAAGGACCAGCAGGTGGGCTGGATCCAGCTGGGCACTGGGGCTGTGTGCTGCCCAAGGAAGTGCAGCTGAGAAG